ATGTGAGACGATTTGTACATTTTTCCTTTACAACCTTTGACGGAGACAAAGGGCAGTTTCAGACCACATAAAATGGGAAATAGGACTCCGTTTATTTCTGTCCGAGGTAACAGTAGCCTTTTATGTCGGTGGAAACTGTCCTACAAAAACTGGATCTCAGATATTGCGAAAATAAATTGTTGGAAGGTCTAGAAGAAGAGAGAGTGAAAAATGTGCTATAGAATGTTGAGGAAAGAGAGGGCGATGAATTGAGAGTGAAAGAAAAGTATAGGTACTTAATGCTATTATAAGAAGGTTTGTTCTAGAAAATGTATTATAAGACATAAATCAAGACGTAAAGAAATTTCATTGCTGCGTACAAACTCATTTAAATCCTTAAAAACTACTACAAACTTGATATATTACTGAAAATACCGTATTTTTAATCCTACCTACATCGCGTGACTTCATTATACTTTCTCCTTTACTGAAACTTTCAATTTCGAGCACGTTTTCAGGAGTATAGTTGTAGTTGGATATTATTGAAGGCTGTATCGTCATAGTAACATTTGTAGGATAATGAGGTATAATTGGATCAATTTGGCCTAGATTATCTAGTCTTATGTTAATTGGCACTAATTGGATATATTCGTTCTCATTAGTAGTAACTAGGACGGCAGGTATAAAAGCTATGGAGCGAATACTTTGACTTTATGATTATAAAAGTATAGTGATCTGATTGACTGGTGATTTTTTCGTTGATTGTACGAAAATCACTGTTATTAGATCTCTGATCTTCTTATGTTGTGTATTGTTTATGAATGAAATCCAACAAAATATACCCCTAATTTCTTCAATTTGAGATGGCCTCCGCTTCAAAAAACCTTTTGTTTTAAACCACGCTTTCAAAACCCAAAAAGGTCTTGCTTTATTTCCCCCGAACTATAAAGCCTAATATTTTACAGTAAATAATCAAAAAAGATGTCGTTCGTATCGCAAACGGTCGCGGGGCTGAGTCAGACGCGGTCTCGCGAGGACCCGCCGCCGCGACAACACTGCTCGCATCAGCACGCGCACCGCCACACCCAGCTCAGCCGAAAGAACAGTCTCCCAGAATGGGACCCACCTGAACAGAGAACCAGAAAGAACAGCCTCCCAGCAGATATCTTGGACAGAATGACGGAATCGAGCATCAGCACTATATCAGAAGAGTGACAACAGTCTCCGTAAGTTTTGCGATTGGTGTCTCCGTCACCCTAGTACGCATGGATGCACTCCAATGTAATGCACAGGATGGGAGGAAAGGCTTTGGAACAGCCCCTTGCATGCTTAGAGGCTTATGTGATTAGGGGAAGACCCTGCACGAACCCCATAGATATATGTTGTGCCTAAATGTTGTAACTGAAGATTATATAAGAAGTGACCAAGAATGTTAAGAAGAAATGAATGTGGATGAGAAGAAAGCGAGGGAAGATAATAAAAATGTTGAATATGTATTATACAAATATGAACTTTATACCCTTTCTATAAGAGTTATCGCGTGAGACTAGAATAACAGTATAATATGTGTAAGTGGACATTTTCCTCTGGTGTATAAAAAATTCAGCGATAACATGTCTAGACGTAACCAGCATTTGTATGTAAATCGATACTGTCACGTTGATTAGTAAAGTTATTGAACCTATGAGGAATGGGACAAATAAAATAAAGGAACATACATTTTATTTCTTTAAGTATACTGCGTTTAGAGTGAAAGACCTAAACAACTCCTTTAATTTATTTACAACTCAGAGTTATGAATAACTTTTTGCTTAATCATGGTTAAACTACAAATGCTCTAAAATTACCCATTTCATTATAGATAGTGCAAAAAATAACGTTGGTAATACTTTTTTATTACAATCTGAAATTGCAAATGAACTTAAAACAGACCACAAAGAAAGTTCTAAAAGAAGAGAGAAGACAACAACCACTAATTGTATTCCCAAACTCGATAGATACATCATTCCAAAAATGCAAAAACAGTAAAACGAACACAGTTAAAATGACGAAATTATTCCACCGAAAATCCGTTGCAGAATTTCATCCGCTCATCGCTTTCCAATTAATATTCGTAATCAATTTATATTTCCAGTTAGTCCATCGGCTACCCGATGGCGTCCAAATCTCAGGTAGCAATTTGTTTCAATTAATCACCGAAATAATTGAGGTGTTATCGATTTTATACCCGATTTCATACATTTTGACATCTAGATTTTGGGACTGTTTCAATTCTTAATTTGGATTTCGTACATTTTAAAGTGATTAAGTTCTCCATTTTAAAAGTGGGAGAGCCATGCTTCCGCATGAAAGAGCCGGCTCGACCAGAGCGATACCGTGACCTCACGGAAGACAGGCGTGAAATAACGCCTGTATTGTCTTTCACAACGTGAGTGAGGTTACAGAAGAACTTTTAAAGGCCGACAATAGAGTTTTGCCCTAGTGTAGCGGGTATCCATGGGCGGTGTCAATTGCTTACCACCAGATAATCCGTCTGCTCGTTGGTCGACCTCTCACGTTTTTTTTTCAAATTTTCTATAAATATGGTGTTTATTAATGTTACCAATTCTTTAGGCAAAAGTTACTTCTGCCTTCGTAACAACTGAGTTAAATATTTTTGTTTGTATTTCGATTAATCAATCAAAAACTTTTTCTTGTTTGTTACTTTTTACTTTTATGTTGTTTTCTTTCAATCTTAAAGTTACAAACGATTTTATTTCTTTATTGTTACGATTATTTACTTAGATGTTGCGATTAAGGACTATTGAAAACACAATTTTAGTCGTAAGCATCTTCCTAATCTCTTGGTTTGTCGCCAGACTTTGGTCATTGTTATTAACACCATCAGTTGCTAAACAATTCAGTATGTTCATTGAACAAAATACAAATATAATAAAATCAGTAATGTGCACAGATTGTTAAGCAATTTACTTTTACTTATACTTTTAAATAACTTTCCCAGCTCATTGCTCTATTTCATACCGTCACGTAAGAGCAGGGATACCATATTGGACATAATGACATGATCTAACCACTGGTTACTATAAAGTATAACATTCTCCCATATATGGAAGCAAACTCGGCCTGTAATTAGTTAGGAATAAAACTACTAATAAACTATTAACTAGCAAAGTTTATGAGGCTAGTGAAGCAATTTCGTAATCGATCCCTAATGATGGAAATTACGGACTACACGGGCAGTCTTGCAATATTATTTAATAAGCTTTAAGTGTGTAATGACATAGATAGTTCAATCAAAAGGTGTGTATAATTTTACAAGTTGTCGTCTGTTAGTTCGATTCTATATTAAAGGGAGTGGAAAAACAACATATTTTCTGTTTCAAGTACATTTTTTTTTCTATTAGTCAGAAAATATAATACTAAAAGTGCGTTCAAAAACACTGTTATATTTATAAACACTGTTATTTTTCATCCACTAGTATAAGTTCTGACATTGAAAATATACAATAAACATACCCTTAGAACGAACATTCCAAACTCACTTTTTGACCTGATGAAACCCTCACGCCACCGCCAGACTATGTAGAAACAATTTATCAGATGAACCTGCAAGGTCGAGTGAACTTTCTCCTGGCGTGCATGCAAATAGCACACGCAAAGCTATTTCAGTACAGTGCATGCTAATGCACAGCTGTTTACAAGCACACACAATAAAAAACTATGTAGTCGTGCTAGGTTGATTACACTAGAAATAAATACCAATTGACCGAGATCGGTTTAAACATGGCGTCAATTGTAACTATGAATAAAGAAAGGCAATAATTATGAAACTAGTGCTTTGAAGAATATAATACAGAATTCATACGATAAAGATACTAAAGCAATATGGAAGCTTAATGAAATAGCTTTTATTGTAAATGAAAGTACAAATAAAGAGAGCGATAAGGAAATACGAGTACATGAAGAAAATTATAACTAAGAGGAAACATGGCATGATAATATGACGATTGTCTTTCTCGAAAATAATTTGTAGAAAAGCGACGACATTATATAAACTAAACAGACAAGAAGTCACATCTAAATATAACAGGAATTTCAATGACAGGGCTGAAAAACAACCAATGCCTCTCCCAAAACTGGAACTATTCATAGTAACCAAAGCGTATTGATGACTTCTTACGTAACGTGTATATGTAGGCCATGTCAGGCGAGCCCTCGCTGCATTAAGGGCGGCTAACCAATGACTCATGTGTATTACACTCTAGCTTTTAATATTGTATCAAATAAAAACAGCTAACGTCAACCCAGTTAATGTTTTTGTCTTTATAAACCCTATACGCTTGGAATACTTTATTTTATTAACCCTGTCAGTAAAATATATGTCTTTTCGTCTCTCTTTGGTCTTTATTTTCATTATCCTAACTGATGTTGTGGTTTTGACATTTTTATTATTATCTAACAAACCTATATTTGTAATACTATTTTTATCAATTTGGAACTTATTTTATTATGACTTACTTCTGTGTTCTTGAGGAATAAATTCCAACTGTGAATCGTTTTGTCCGTACGTAGCGGACGCCAGCTTGCCATTATCAAACAAAACGACTTCACCCCATTGCGTACATTTACATATTATTCCCATCTCGGAGACGTTCTATTGACCTTTAACGAACAAAATGGTGCGTTGATGGTACATTTAGTGTCTACGCTATTTACTTGTGGAAATTTTGTAAAATGGGATTATTTCGACCAAAAACTTGTTGTAATTACTGTAATGATGCAAGAAAAGAGTTTATTCTTTTTCTGTTTAAAAAGAGGTTTATTAATAAAATCTCAATTGTTACAGGCGGAGCGAGTTTTTAGGATGTGTCTCGTTCCCAATAAAAGATGCAATTAACTGCGACATATCCGGCACATATTTCCTGCAACACAGCTCTGGGCGCGGCCAGAACGCGGCACCGGCACACGCCAATGACAGATTCGTTAGAGACGACCGCGTGACTGAAGGAGATTCGCACAAGATGGCTACCGACAACATTGAAACTAGCACTAACGATGGCACTAAAGAAAACCATAATGATAAAGGTTAGTATGAAGACATTATCATAATAACAGAAGTGTAAATAAATGATACAGTCAAACTGTGATTCAGTTAATTACACTAAACTGAGCTGAGGAAAATATTTATCTTCTGTTTAGCTAAAAACTTATGCGACTTCAATTGTTAATCATCTTAATCCACATCTCCAGGTGTATCGACAAATGGTCCAGCATCAACAACAGCTAGTCAGGCGCAGGCGGTGGCCGCTGCCCTGCAGAGGGAGGCTGATGAGCACCTGTTCCTCCGATACTTGGAGCTGGACCCTCCTGAAGATCCCAACGCACCCAGACGAGCACCAAGAAATGGGAGGACACCTTTTACTACAACAAGGAAGTGAGTACGATCTAGCACCCTTTCTTTACTCTTAAAACATAATTTAACAATAAATAATCAATACATCATTACTTGAAATAACCAGAATCGATATTATACATATTTGACAATGTTATTGTACGCATTTTCTATGTAAATGAGTAATATAAATTCATACGAAGCTCCAACGAGAATTAGAGTTACTTTAATAGTAATGGAAACTAATTCAACGTCTCTTTTATCAACATTAACTAAACTAACGGCATGGCTCATTATTTAGAAGGAAACCTACTAATGACGAACATTATGAACTGGGATGTTTGGGCAAAGATCCAAATATTCAAAAAGTGGAAGAAATGAAATTAAGGCCTCTTCCTTGGAAAGGCAACGGTTCTAAATGTCTTTGATCATAATTCTTAATCGTATCATGCGTTTCCATTTGAGTGACCTTTAATGTATAATTATGAATTTCCTTCTGAATTCCTAATGTTAAAATCTGTAGATATATAAATTAATTATACTTTTTTTCAAATGCTCAAACCTAATTTATTAATTATTACTTTCAGACTCATCCGCGGTACTGCTGGAGGTTTTGGCTTCACAGTCGTATGGACCAGACCACCGAGGGTCGAAAGGGTGGCTGCAGGAGGTTCCGCTGAACGCGCTGGTCTGAGGGCTGGAGACTACCTCGTGTTTGTGGGCAACAAAAACGTAGTGACATCCAACGAGGAAGAGGTCCGGAACCTTGTCAAGTGAGTATTCATATTTATAATGAGACGTTTTGGTAGTACACTTGAGTGGCGGAAAATTTTTGACTAACTAATTTAAAACTCAAATATATATAATATTCGAAAAAAATATCCATCTAAAGCAATGTCTGCCTTCTATTTCCAGGTCAGCAGGCCAAATGCTGAACATAGAAACGTTCAGACGGGTGCCTCCAAACGGAGTGGGAATTCGACCGAGGTTGACTCAGGTGACCATACCCACTGCGGAGTCTACGCCCCCTCCACCCCCAAGGTCACCTCGAGCTACTGCCCTGGCCTCACCAGCCACAGCAGCCCGGCCCCCCACTGCCTGTTCATCAACCAGCCAATCCCTGGACCGACGCAAGCTCCACCTGCCCCAAGTCACATTCTCCAAAGAGGTCGGTAACGGCATTATCGTTTGACACTTCATCGAAATCATTTTGGAAACTAGTCATCTTTGTGGCCAGTTCTTGAATGTAAACTTGATGGTACTTACATTTTTAAAAATCAGAATTATTATGGACATAACCAGTTTTATTCAAACAGAATCAATTTTACTTCTTTAGTTAAATTACAATAGCAATCACAATTTGAAGTTTTCATTTATTTTATTATCAAGAGAGTAGAAAATGTCATCTACAGACCTACTAAATGTTACTAGCGTTTAGTTGAAGCAATGCCAATATGACAGATTCATATCAACCATTCAACTTTCAACATCAACTTTCCTAAATTGGATGTCAAAGTAAGGACTTGCTTCAAAGATATCTTGAACCACAAGTTTGCGTGACTTGAGCTGGCCATTAGAAACATTATTCGAATTTATTATTTTGGTATATGAGAGACAAAAATTTAACGAATTTGGTGCTAGTACGAACCTAGTATGTTCTTGGAGCGTGGAGTCTAATATCCTTTTAAAATGTACAGTCGTGTGTATCGCATTTTGTTATTACTTTTATTTTTTTTTTCTTTCTCTTTCTGTAAATACTTCATGATACATTCCATTATTTTAGTTTCTAAGCTATCACATATTCTACGTGTACTGCAGATTTTTGATCGAAAATATTTATCAAAAATTAGATTGATTGAACAAAATTATTTATTTTAATTGCTTTCGTGAATATTTTATGTCGAAATTTTTATTAGTATTTTAAGAATGGTTTCCTTAAAAATCTGCAGTTTACACTTTCTTAGCTAGGTAGTATGTCTTCGTGTATTTTAGTATTTAAGTGAAAAATCATTAAAAGGGGAATCGTTACGTTTAAGCTCACTGTTTTTGTTAATATTTATTTTGTTAAAGTTTTCATTTTTACTTTTCTTTATTTTTTTCTAATTTATTTCCTTTATCTTAGTTCGTGCGTGTTGTATCTACATTGTACCCATCGCTGTGTTTTGTACAATTTTCATTTTTTGTAACTTTATATTTTTCTATTGCATTTGTATCTACTTTTTTAATTTATTTTATTCGTCGTATTCAATGCAAAAATTTTGGTTCCTGTTGTTTTTTATTTCGTTTTTTAATTTATGTTCTATAATTTTAAGTGCAAATAAATTTATTGCTTTTAATTTTCTTTTTTGTTTTGTTTTTTTATTGTTTTTACCCCTTTAACCCTTTTCCTTCCATTATTATCATCAAGTTTCCAAGATTAATACTGCAAAAAAACAACATTTATTATCATACTATACCATTTTGAAAGTAAGACTGACACAGTCTCTTGAAACCACTATTGTGGCACTAACTACTATAGAGTTACACGCAGTACATAAACACATTGACACGAAGGACATCTGTCATTTTCTTAAATCTGGTCACGTGGTAACACACTCACGCACACATAAATGACCACAGACATTTTGGTGCTTCAATCATTTATAAGTGATATTATGATCGCCTTTTTTCAACATCCGTGACCATAAATGAATATGTATACCTATACTGTGTCTCTACATATCTCTAGTAAACGAACAAACAAAAAAAACTGCACCCACTTCGTGGAAAATTCTATCATCAAATTACCGGATAAAAGTAGTTTAATATTCCTCTAGGTATTTCAGCATACAGTATTTCGGTATGGTAAGCTATGAGCTAGATCTTTGTGTTTCTCATTTATATTCTCCATTCTATGTGTCATATGATATGAAAGAAGAATGGGATTGTGAAGAGATAGCTTCAGATAGGGGAGATCCCATAATTATAGACCTCGTACATGCCATACCTCTAGTAAATTGAGATCAAAAAGAAGAAAAATCGTTAAGTCAAATTAATACTCATTTTTTGTCTATGAGAGAAGAAAATTTGAATCAATATTAAAACGCTTAGAAGGATCATGATCTTAATTAAAACTCCTAATTATCCAAAAATAATTTGTATTCACTTATTTTACAAAAATTGTATATAGGTATATCCGTCAGCTATCAAAAACAAAAACCGCGCAAATGCCCGACTGAGATAGTGTTGCCACGTTTGGAAACTAAATCAATCCACGATATTACTATTTCTCAGTTTAGTGTTTGAAATACTTAAATATGTGAACACAAGTATAAATATAGTGAGTGATGAAATATATGACTTACAATAGGTTAAATATGACTTACAATAGGTTAAATATGACTTACAATAGGTTTAAACGAAAGCTGGTAAAAGGAGGGTATCTAGTTAACAGCTCTTATCTTCATATGAGCAGGTTTGAATCAAAAAAAATTGTAAAATGCCAAATAAACTAAGAAATTGCGAGTTATTCACGTAAATGTGCTAAGAGAAGCTCTACTAGTTTCGAGTCACAGAGGGGCTCTTTATAGACATCGCTGTATGTGTCATAATAACATTGTAACTAAAATGCCCTAGCTCCTCCACTATCTCTCTACGAGATACTGATGATCCTTGTTTTCGTGTGCCAATGGCCAATTAAATGCATTTTCTTTCTCCAAATGTCACGTGTGCACCCGTTGGATCGTCTGCGTTCCATAAGGACGGGTTCAACGGGTTAATCTAAGTCATAATCAGTCAATGATGCAATATAATAATACAATATAATAATATTATTAATTAATAATAATATTAATCCAATGATGTATTTGTTAACTAGTCCACCGTCCATATGTGACCACGAAACACAATAGAACATTATTTGAGAAATAGTAGCAACTAGCAACTGACAAAACCATTGACCACCAGACCCCAGGATTATCAACGGACGGCAGAAAGCGCGCTCTCCTAGCTGTGGTAGCCAGAGAACAGCATTATGGAACCTGTCTACAATTCGGTCTAGTCAGATTCGTGTCACCACTGGCTGAGAGAGCAGACCTCATAGCTCCTAATGACCATCAGCTTCTATTTCAAAATATTGAAGAGGTAAGCACAATTACAAAGAGAAAATTATAAAAAATCTAAGGCCATAGAGAATCTCTGCACCATTATTATTTACAACAACAACTGTTCTTATTTACATTCATATCGATATATTAATATTAGAGTCAAATTGCTACAATACTTTTCCTAATTAGAAAGTTCACGGCCTAAACTCTATGAGTTGTGTATGGTTGTCATACACAAGTCATATAAGTAATAATGGTCAAACTCTACTTCTAGATCTTCAGACTATCAGAAGACATTCTAGACCAAGTGGTGCAGGATGACGGAGAGATCCAGACGTCGACTGTGGTCGCCGTCTACCTTCAGAAGACCCCTGTGTTCCTTAGCCTTTATAAGAAGTACTGCCTTGGCCTCAAACGAGCTGATTGTGTTCTGGTGCGTATTTGAAAAAGAAAACGAAGATTCACATATTTAGAGTCTAAAATTAAAGAATCGTCTTAAAAGCAAACTCTTTAAACAGGTAAAAAAATCGAAAGACCCAAGTGGGGCTTTCTCCCGGTTCTGTACAAGTCCACCAATACCACGAAGAAGACCTGATATCACATCGCTAGTCCACAAACCGTTGGAGCAGTTCCGAGAGCTGCTGCGACTGATGAGGGCTGCGGCGGCTGCTAACGGAGCCGGTCCATACGACCAGCTCGAGAAAAAGCAGCTGCAAGTCATTGTGGAACAGTTACAGGTAATCATGGAGTTTAATATTTTTTGAAGTTTCAGAAAGATAATTATCCCTTACACTCCGTCTTTCTTTTTAAAATGGTGTACAAAATCTAAATCTTATTTCAGAGTGGTTACCAAGATGTGACAGCTGGTTCAGGTTTGATGGGCCTTGCTGGAGATGGCAAACCGCTGCTATCAGTTGCCGACCTGGAGAGTCGTCTCGTGTTCACTAGGTGTAAGGTGAGTACACATAGCAAAGAACGCTAATACTACTATGTCACTGCTAAGTTTAAACCTAAGACGAAGACTCTAATCACACCATCTTCTTCCAGCCATTCGTGCTAAGCACGGCAGGTCGTCAATGGATCTTCGGCGGTGAGCTCTCAAGGGTGGAAGGTCGCGCCATCCGACCATACTGGGCGTTACTGTTTAGTGATCTGCTACTCTTTGCCACTGTGTCAAGAGACCGAGTACTGTTTGTCACAGAAGAACCAGTGGCGTTGGGAACCGTCTCCGAAGCGCAGTTCAATGTTAGGAAGAAAGGTATGTAGACATAAATACTCGTATTTACTTATTGTAACAGTCATAACGTTTCAGTATTCTTTCGTCGCCTTGGAGGATTTCTAACAAACTTCTTTATATTACAGCGACAGAATTCCGCCTGATATTAGGTCGTGCAGGTGGCGAATCTCCTTTAGTGTCATGTTCACCACGTACGCCAGCTAGAACAAGAACCGTCGTGCTTCGAGCTCCTTCCATAGACCTCAAGGCTGTATGGCAAAGCTTACTGCAGAGGCAAATGTAAGTAACTAGTTCATTATTTGAGTAAAGTAATTTATAAATCATACTTGATAAAAATTAATGGTATCTAACTGCTATCTTCTTTTTTTCCAGCTACCGCGCTCACACGATGTCAGGCACTCCACTCGGCTCACCACTTGACTCTCCCGACCCTCAGCTGACGTTCTCCCTCGCCACGCTGGACTCGCAACAACGCCAGGTATCCGCGTCCAGCATCCAACGCCACTCCAGCCTGGCACTACTACCGGCCAGCTCCTACCGATCGCATCTCAACATGCTCGTGGAAGAACGTCCAGAGAAGGAAGTTAGAGTCAGTTTCGACGTCAGAACGAGTTCAGACTCTCCTACTCCTCAACCTGTGCGAGGCCCCCTTAGCACAGTTTGGAGAACCGCTCCCACCCCTGAAACGCCTTCTGCTAATCTCTCTCCAGCAGAATCGCAAACGTTCTCCTCCCATTTCGTCTCATCGTCAAGCATTGAAAAGAACGATGAGCCTCATACTTCTCCCAGTGCCCAATTAACGCCAGATGGTGGCGAAGATTATTCAGAAGCTTCACCCTGCAGGTGGGAATCTTTTGAAGCTGACTTAGCTCTAGCAGATTTAGATGTCGACCCCTCGTATAAACACGCTGTCGAGGAGCGCATCTTCCTGCCTGACGATCCCCTCCTGCAGCGGGTGGCACTACCAGAGCGGCCAACCCCGCCGGCGTATCTGGAACTTTGATCCGCGGAGTCCGATCCGGAGCTGGCAGAGTCCTGCTTCCCCCGGTATCGTAGAAATTGGAGATAAGGTTTTTGAAAGAAACCTTTGAATGGTGTGTTCTAGTAGTCATGTTTAGCCGGTGTTTAGGAGAAGGAGTCGAAAGCTTTCGCCGCGTAGTCAGGCGAGTTTGTTGGATTGTTATAAAAATCGCTTATAGTCGAGATTAAGGTTGTGGTAACAAAATTTTGAGAGACATATTTTCGAACATTAGCAGTATTAAAGAAATCTCGGTATTTTGATTATATTAGAGAAATAATTTGTAAGTCTGATGCCCTACTTATGATGCGACCGGGTAATAAAGAAAATTTACTTATCACAGAACTGAATTCACGATTGGGTATTTTACAAAATCGCTTTAGTATAATCGAAAATGTGTATGCCAATATTTACTAAATAGAAAATCAGTGTCAAATGTAACTATAGGGTACCAATAGTGAAGATTCGTGTACAATACATTACACTTTTTTCGATACCAAGTTTGCTTAAGTCTTCCGTCCTTTTCTTAAGAAATTCAAAAGTGCTTCGTTATTTTTGGTACTTGTTTGGTCGGCGCACTCTGTACTCTTTGATTCCTGCATCTGTGTACTGGAACAATTAGCTAATAAATGTTGATGTTGTATGTGTACAGACACTTCACAATGTAAATCTGTACATAGATATAATTGTACAGGTCATGTGGATATTTGGCGATCTGCTTCGCGAAATCAATCATGTAGTTGCCATCATTGCACAATTAGAGCATTTTGATTTGATCAATGCTTCTTATGTTGAAATGTTCATCGCCATTAGATATAAATATATTTACAAAGAAAAATGGTAGTCGATGTTAAATGTGACTGATTTATTTGATGCTTTTTTATTTATTAGTGTAATAAATGAACACATTGATTGTTATTCTCATGTTACTGCAGATGTAATTGTAATTGACAATTTAGACGATCGTAATATTTGTGTCGCTAGCATCGCAAAATGTTCACATAACCTAACCGTTTCCCGGGAAAGTTTTTGTATGTGTATTTCATTTTACAAATCTACGTAGTTAGAATCAGATAATTTTCGATGTCTTTGGCTGTGTGTAAATTTTTAATATAGTCTTATATTGATAAAATTATAATTTTGAGAAAACATTTTACTTATAGTTCCGGTTTCTTCATCACATATTAATGGATTAAATAATATAAAATTTGGATGTTTATGTTTAGATCGGAGCAGAATATTTCTTACTATCCGTAAATAAAGTGATTTTGTCAATGGCGAATATATATTTCTTTTTATTTGAAATTGGTTAAGATCCTCGAACTTTGCGACGCTAACGAATATGTTATTAGTTTATGAAACATCTACCATTTTTCTCTGTATATTTGCACACATTGGATAAATTAAAGTATGTCTTTACTAAATTATATTTAAGCTAAAATCTTTTAAAATAATACAAAATAAAATCAGTACAATAGTTCTCAAACTCGACTTCATACATTTGAAATCTGGTGGTAAAAATGTTGGAAACAATAAATAAATACGATGTCAAGGTCCTAGATATTCAGGCAAGGGAAACTGTGATAATCATCTTCAGATGAAGAAAACCAATCTTGTCCTGCAGTTTCCAATTTTTTAAAACGAAGTTTCATTTCGCAACCAAATTACTAAAATAACATACAAATTCCAAAGGTCATTTAATTCCTGAAATTGAAAAGAGATTAATTCTAAATAGAAATTTAAACCAAAGAAACCGTTCATAACATTACAAGATTTCATAATAGGTAACCTGCACTATCCGTAAATTCAATCGAAATTAATTAGATTAATTTATTACAAAATAGAAACCTAGCCAATAAGACAGAAAAAGTATTAGACACTAAAAGTTGGTATATATGTTTACCTTAACAAACGTAATGGACTTCGAAATTAACAGCCCGAATAAGTAACTTTGATGGTAAGTAAAGTTTTATAACTAATACCTAATCAGATCACCAAGTATCCACAAAGCGATAACAATAAATTAGCAAAAGATAGTACATAATAAAGTTAAATAGCAAACAATAATAAAATTGTAAGAAAAGAAAAACAATCTAGCAAAATATTATAGACGCGACGCAGTTCAGTGGAGACGCAGACAGGAGGAGCTGGGAGTGCCACAGAGGGTGCCAGGAGTACTAGGAGCAGAGGTTCTACTTTACATCTGCAGAGATGGATGACACAGCTGCCTGAGGCAGAGGAACTAGATCCTCCTGAACCTGATATGGAGGTAAGTAGAAAGGAGTGTCAAGGTATCTCAAACTAAACGTAAAAACGACATTGGAACAAAGTAATGACACCACAGAAAAAAATTCAAAAAATGACTGCCTTCACTTCAATGAGACGGTTAACTAACTATATCTAATCAATGCTTCTAGATGTGGAGCGTAGAAGAACTGAGAAAACGATCCAAAGAGCTTAACCTTCTAGAAGTAGCTGATCTTGTTTCAAGTCACGAAGCTAAAGGAACGTCGCCAGGCGACAAGAAGGAAAACGACCGTAGTCCGTCTAAAAGTAGCAATTCTGGAAGTCAAGTATGTAGTAAACACATCAATTTTAAATTGAAATATGTTCATGGTTTTGTATTAGCACACTTTGTTTCAGATTACGGTAAGGACAAGCCCAGTGGTAGTAGACACGATACCCGTCTGCAGACAGTGCCACAAAAAGTGTTTGTCCAAGCCAAATAGTCCCTTAGTGTCCCAAAAGGAGCCGCCGGTGATACCTGCCAAACCAAAAACCGAGGCATCGCCCCAAAACTCCAACTCTAACAAAAGTTCCACCAGTCCATGTAGTGCTCACTGCGGTAACCGTAAACCAAGAAACTTCTCCCACTTAGAACGTAAGAACGCTATAAAATTACGTCCAGAAGATGGTCCCAGAGCAGCCAAAAAGGTCATAGATTCAATAGAACAAAGCCAAAGAATGCTAAAATCAACGTCCTACGAACTAAAAACCGATTCACCAATTCTAAGCAGAAGCGTCCATTCCATGCATACGAAGAGTCAGTTAGAATTAAGAAAAGACAACTCGATAAGATCGCCAAGTCCTTCGTCCAGTAGTCGAAACAGTCCATTGTCAACTAGCCACACCACTTGTAGTTCCATGGTCTTTAACTCTAGTTCTAATGATTTAAGAATGTCCAACTCAAATATCGCCAACCAAGTCCAATGCGTCATTGCTCAAGAGAAATACTTGAACGAAGTGAAATGCGTAGAAAGTATAACTTTAACGAAAACTAAAACTGCCACAACCAACTACCCATCGCCAGCGTCCGCCAGGAAAGAACAGATCACGAGACAAAAGGCTGAAAACGTATTAAATAAAGTTTTAGGCATGAATATTGTAACTAAGAGGGAAAACATTGGCTCTTGCCTGAAGACATCTTCGGTATTCCTTGAAGACGATTCAATACACGAAGATGAAACTGACTTCAAAATAGAGAGAGGTCTCAGACGGTCCCCTAGAATGGGTATTTCAGCAGTCAGTAAAATGAATGGGGATATAACAAAGAAGACTGAACGAATGGAAGACGTGAACGCTAATAATACTGACGCTGGTTCTGATGAAGATTTAGAGTTAGGACCTTTAATGTTGATGGGTCTATCGGCCATCAATCCCGCGGCGCATTTGATGAGAGTAGAACCATTTAAACGAGGTTCGGCGACGAGTTTGAACAACCCTCGTTCTAGACCAGGTAGTCTTGGCTCGGTCAAGTCAGAGTCTCCTGTTCCTAACATAGCTGTTGTTCCACCAACGCCCGACTTTAATTCCACTAATAAGACTGTGAGTTCTCTTTTGAGGAGTTGTTTGGATTCCTGTAGACTATGATCGTGGTTACTGAGCTACTTTTATATTGCAGGATGACCTTGTAGATGAGTCCCCAGATTCCCCTGACGTTCCAGATGACCTGCCTTATGTTACGCTCAAAAGGTGATATGATAACAATTAGAGTGCTTAGTTGGAATCAGTCACTGTTGTTATAATGACTACTAATGTTGTTTAAGATATGGCACAATGTCAAGCCTGGAGAGGCTACCGTCCGATGAGACTGACGATGGTAACGTAAGACTGACATCACAAGAGCCAGAAACTTCTAAAGCTTACAATAACCCAGGTAAGTTGTTCAAAGCTCATTTTCTTTTTGAACTACTAAGATCTACTTGCTTTTTTATTTTAAAAGAATATATTTTACGTCCTACTAATGATGTATGACGAAACGGGTCACGTTCCGTCACACATCAACGACAGAAGATTCTGTTTTTGTATGTTGAAGTTATTTTCTTTCCTCAGTGAGCGGAGCCGCTGGTGGAATAATGGGTTGGACGGCGCGAGCTGGCTCCTTCGTAGTGGAAAAGATGAACATCTTCAGTTATACTGAGAGTGTCCCCAACACGTCTATAGCACACAAACAGCCCTCCTTCTTAGAGAGGTATGAGATTTAAGATTTGTATTCTTTAAGAGTAATTCATCATCATTCATAACTATTATTCCTTTTACAAAAATGTATGTCGTTATAAACGTGACCCGCGTTTTAACTTTTACCCAAATGGAGTAATTATTATTATTACCTACCTATTCCAATCTCAAATTATTTTAATTAATATGTTTTACTTACGTAACTATTCGACAAGTTCCTCGTCCTTAATATATGTTCTCTATATATAATATATGTATATCCAACATAATAATTAATTTAGTAAGTCTCACGAAATTTTTAACTCAAATTACCTTTTTTGTATTCCTATATTTTGCTATATTTTATGGTTACAATGATTACTTTATTTATTACTATGTATATGGTTTTCAGTTCAAAATTGAATTGATTCATTTATATTTCCTTGTATAATTTGTTGGATAGTATATTTATAGTGATCATACTGTACATTGTTTTAACCATATTTTTCCCAAAATAGGTGGAAATCAAGTCGTTGGAGAAAAGAGAGCGAACGATGAGTATGTGTGGGTGTAAAACGTAGTGTCTTTAATCATTTATAATTGTTTTAAATAATGGTTTGAAGCTACTAGAGCTATACATGTGTATGTATTGGAATATACAGATAGATAAAAAATAATTGTATTTTTGCTGACTTAGAAACAAATAGTTTTTAATGCTAGAAATATGTAAGTAATATATTGAGCTAGTATTGATTATACAGTTTTATTCATATTTAATACAGACTTAGATACAATAGTTGTAAAGTTTTTTAATTGTGATTACGTCATTGTAAAGAGTATGTATTTTAAATAATTACAATTTTGTACTAAAGTCATTAAAATAGTAAATGTTATTGGAACAGTTTGTACTAAAATTGTATTATAATGTAACTGTAGACCTTTCTATGATATTTATTTAGATTGAGTGAATAATATAATACAAATAATATATACAATAGATATATCAATATCAAAACAAATCATATAATAGAATTATTTAGTCAAATTACTATTTTATACTCACTTTTAATAGTCAACCTATTTATATAGTCAACCTATTTATGTAGTCAAAACTGACTAATAGTTTTCCGTCTGACTAAATGTAATGTTACCAGGTGTCTCGGTGTGAGTGATTGGAAGTCCACCATCGGTACAGAGGAGGGTACTGGTGAGACAGGGGAGGGAAGTGGGGCAAGCGGGGAAGAGGCCTGGGGCACTCCCTCCTCTGGAGATCTGTCTGATAACCTGCCTGATTCTGAACATGGAACTTTATCGGTAAGGAATTCTCATAAGACAATGTGTGAGATTACTAGATCAAAATTAAAAGATCCCTTCCGCGATTTAATAAACAAATAATAAAAATATAGTATGCCAATCGATTATGATCATAGTGACCTGGATGCTTACTCTTGAAACCAATCGCAATGTCAATGCAATTTCAATACAATAATAATATATATATGATATATATTTAAACTCTCAATAATTATTCAATGTCAAAACTATACAACCCTTATCGTAGCTCTTACGATAGCATTCAGAGTACGGAATATAAAGCCCAACTCAATACCATTTAGTTTATTAAATATCCACGCAATACGGAGCAATGGGCGCTAGTGTCTCAATTCAAGAGTACGAAATTTTACAATACCAATGTCGATCGATCGGAATTGGATTCAAGAGTAAGCCTCCTGGTCTGTTAAGCTACCTAGAATAACCCACTATGCAGGAGATGGATATGTGTACCTACTTACTCGTAATACATAATCTTTATAAAAAAAATCATATTCACCAAGCATCCTAGGCCTTTTGAATGGAAAATCCTACACTATTTCAGTCACCCACGAAGTCATCATCTTCGTACGCTGGTGACGATGACACAGAGCTAATGATGGATGAGCTCCTCATGGCTCCCACAATTACAGGACCAACGACTCTTAGACCACTACTGCCAAGGTATACCATCTTGCCCTTATAACAATGCATGATCATTTCCTAGTTCATTCCCCTATTTAGGAGTTTATTGACAAAGCTTCATTAATAGACCAAGATCAATCATTGCTTAAGCACAGTAAATTGTAGTTTTTATTTTAGCAATTTGTGCTATAATGTCATTTTATTTAAGATCATAATGCTGTACTAGTGTAACTATCAATTGAAGTCTTTTATCACTTTCTTGTTATTATGAACACATATTATACATAATATATGTATCAACTTCCTAGTAAAATGTCTACTCCAAATCCAATTGGCTGTTCATAAAAATTACCAAACACATAACTAATGACATTCTTGAACATAGGGACGTATTTAGGAGAAGACTAGAGCCGCTGATGGAAGAAGAATGTTCGGACAGCGGCAGTGAAGACAACAAGCCCACCCCCACCAACTCTGATGACCAGGTGAATATTAATGCTAATTACAATAGAAAATCATCTTATAGTTGCACCAAAGTTCAATATCCCCAAGTAATTGAAAGCAAATAAGAACTGAACCACAATTGCCAATTGCACTATAACAATCCCTGTAATAACAATGTTCACAATTTTCCAGAGTCGAAATTTGGTGCAAAATGTTTTCCCCCCTGTAACAGATGTTATTGTTATGTAATAAGTTATGTACTTCAATGTTATAATATGTTATTTATAAATTAACACGTATTTGTTTACTTCGAATGTAATTGTATGTACCTATATTACAGAATTACAGTCTGTCAAAATTGACGCCACATTCTTGAAATGCATTTTTTTATTTAGAATATGTTAATGATGCTAAAAGCAAGTCAACTTTGGCAGATAGAAAATATTACTATAGTTGTGTAGGAGTATCGTTGTAACCCCATAGCATGCCAATAACCATACAAAATAATGTTATTGGTCGAGCATGCTTCTTGCATGATATATTTGAGGACCTCAGTATCTTAAATGTTATACTTGTTGAAACTAAATAGCTATGCCATGACACAGAGTTCGTTAAGACGCGTTAGCAAACAAAATTCAAAATTTTGCAAAAAACGATATTTTGAAAAGTTTTTATACTGGACTTGGATCCAGATTATTGGCGAATGGAAGTAAAGTCCCGTAGCTAGGTTAAATCTCACATTGTGACTGGTCCGCTGGTGCGGCGCTTGGCGCAGGACAGCGAGCGTGGCCTCGATGCTGACGACTGTTGCGACGTGCCGCACCCGCCGCCCTCTGCTTCCGATCAAGGTGAGTCCGCAACCTTGTCTCCACGCCCCTATACTTGTTCTTGGTAAGTGTGTAGAGGACCATGTGTGACGATGCTAGAACTCACTGTGTGATTGATAGGGGCCATTATTTTAGCATTCATCTCTTCATCTCTAGAACTGCGATTGCTGATTGAAAGTCATCTTCGCCAACGATCTTTCTGGACGCTTTCATTTCTTCTTCGTCATCATTATGTAAATAAAAGGGACCGTTTAGAGCTGATGAATGCATGACTGAGAATGATAACTATTGGGACAACGCAGTTTGCGTCAACGTTAGCACAAAACACAACGTCAAGCACACAAACATACTAACAGAGAACATACATTTTGACAGAGAAATGGACAGCTTGACATATGAGGGAAGGTGAGAAACGAAAGACTCGTCATTATACACAAATATTATAATTATGGCGACCATATTATAACTCAGAATAGCACGATGCATGAGTATCATTATGAAGTATTAGTCCGTACACTTGTTATAACCAGGAATAATGTTTACTTTACTGTAAGTTTGGCTTTCATATATATAATGGACTCGCTTAGAACATGTTTATTATCTGGTAACGCTGTCTTTTTACTCCTACTAGCACAGTATCAGTAGCTAGCACTCTACGTGTAGTCTTATTCATATTCTATATTATTCTTATATTTATATACAATATATCAATATATTCTATACATATTTTCTATACGCAATCATACATATCCTACACTAATACCTATTTATTCAACAATTTTATTACACGTTCATTTATTATATCTTTATGTGGTACTTGCGTTTCATTTCGAATTTTGGCCGCTTATTTTGACGCTGGTCCGTAACATGAGTAGACCGGTCTTTCGATCTTTTACTGAGTAGACCAAGTAGACCGAGGTTTGAAATGAAACCGCATATCAATTATACAGAACAATAACACTAGACGAGTCAGAACTGCTCACGAAACTGTTGGTATTCTCAGAGTACAGGTGTGATGATGTTGCAGGACCAGAGGGCGAGGGTGCGGGCGTCGTGCAGCATGCTGGAGGGGAGGGAGGTGGTGGCGTCGGGTGCGAGCTGAGCCCCGACCGGACACCCACCAACGAGGCGCCTTCGACGCCCTTACTATCTGGTACGTTCAACATTATTTATTTGGTGAGATAACTTACATAACTTTTATTTTTAACCATATCATTTATTTCTATGTCTACAGTTTCAAAAGAGTTTGCGGAGGTGCGTGCCATTGTTGGAGCTGGTCGTCGGGGCTCAGCCAGCTCGGACAGCACGCCCTCAACACTCGAACGCACCACTATACACAACCCTACGACACTCAACCAACCCGCACCAGGTATGAACATTTAATTTTCGTGACGTGAGTAGACCAAGAACCAATAATAAATGAAAAGTCCAAGTATGAAGCGCAAAGTCACAAATTTTACTACCATACGTTTTATTACCGTAGATCTATCATAGCAAGAAACAAAAAGACTGTCTTGTGAAGGCAAAAATGGACATGGCCTTCCCTTGGAGACACACTAATAACGTAACAAGATAGACCACTGTCTTTTCATGATTTTTCCATGGAGACAATATAAGCAACCCTTTTTACAGCCGTTTCAGCCTCGGAGCCAGCACCAGCACCGGAGGTTACCTCACAACCGGAGGAACAGAGACCACGGACGCCGGAGCGACTCAGTCCTCGAGCGGAGATGAGGCTTGCCTTGGACCAGGGGAAGGACATGCTGGCAGATCAGGAGGTGTCCTGGGTATGTCATTCTTGTAATTGATGGAGAAATAGAAGATTTATACATTAAAGGTCTTTTTTAGAAAACGTTCAGATAATTTACCAATGAATACCTAATGAGAAAACATAAACTTCTATGACTTCTATTAATTTAGAAGTTTTAGAATACTTTAATCCATATTTCGTTATGTAATGTGTATCAGGGTGGCGGGTCCGACCCCTGGTCGTTTCGCGCGGCGTGCCAGCGGTCTCTGCTCCGTCGCGTGGCGAGCGCCGACGCAGTGACGCTGTGCCGCGCGCACCCGCGCCGAACCGCCCCGCATACTACTTCGCGCAATTCTGTATATGCTTGGAAGGGTGCGTTAAAATTTAATACTTTATCACTTTTAAGGGCTGGAAATACTTAATTAAATTCGAAAGAAATTGTTGATTCAAATCATATTATATACAAGTAAATCTTCAATCTGGAACCGAAGTGGTTGACTCAAAGTTGTACAAATGACAAGTGGTCGTCTTATGTTTAATTCAATGATGATGAACTAAATCTTATTTCACATTTATTTTCAGTTCCAGAAAGCGAGAAACCTATGGAGATGGAGCAACTGGCACGAGCGGAAGTTCAGACGATGCGTTCGCGGACGCGCTCTCTATGCCAGAACAGGAAGATGTTAGTAATGTTGACGATAATATTCAAAGCATTCTTAAAAACAAATGGGAAACCAGTAGATGCTGTTTAATGGAATATTTTAATATCATTCTTAAACCAAAATCAAATAGTGAGACCATAGAAAAACACGGTTATTGAACGACACTGTGTGATAAAATGGAATCAGCTCTACCCAAAATTCTAGTACAGTCTTCACCTGAATCTCTTACTATGTCACAGTCTTTAACCTACACACCCATATCTGAACTTAATACAGTCATAACATCTTTCTAAATTTCGCCTCCACAGAATGGGTTTCCTCCGGCGCCGCGCGTCGTCCGATAGCCCCCGCCGCGAGCCGTTCATAGTGGCGAGCGCGGCGGCGGGCCGGCCCTTCTCCCCGCGCCGCACCTCCGTGAGCAACAACGGCTATTACAAGATATGCTTTGTCAATGGCTATGTCTGAGCACAGCGCACGCGCCTTCTCTGTGCCAATCAGCTGGATTTAAACCAAAAAAGGAAGCTTCTTCATTGGTCCTTTCTGAAGTTTTAATTTCAACTTGTCCTTTAAGCCATTTTCTAGACGGTTCATGCGGGTTATCTTGGCCATTGTTTTTATTAAGTATATTCATACTATGGGGTGAATATAGTGGTGAGTTTTCAACCAAATATAATGAAGAAACTTCCTATATAAAATGTACACGTTTAAAACTAAGATTTTAAAAAATGTGAAATTCAATTGAACATTGCGGGGTTTAGGTATAAGTGATACCAGTGAGTTCGAAAGTGTCAATGGGACAATTATAAAACCTGCCTTAAATATAGATTCAAAAGTTAAAATGTTAATGAAATTTCGTCCTAGTAAATTAGTTGAGGTAAACGTTAAAATCTTATAAGTAAAAGTAGTTTGTAATGGAAATGATAACTATAAAATTGTACGGATTAATAATGAAGCAACAATCGTGTTTTATAAAATTTTAAAGGACATTTTAATAAATGAAGAGTCGAAATGTCGTGGATGTAATTGGACATTCAAATAAACGAAAGTGTAGTGAGTGATAAATTAGTTAAAATTCATTAAAATTGGCCAATAAAATTGCCTTTCTTTTCCTTATAAAAAATCTTTTAAATTCAAAAATGTTATTGTTAAATTAGTCCTAAAACCTTTTTAGTGAAAATGTTTCATGTTTTTAACCTTTTACCTACTTATGTCTTAAGATTTAACATTTGGTACATTGTAATGATTGTGATTGTCTTGGCACTAAGCTGATGTCAATTTATTCTCTGCTTAAATTTTAGAAATTAACGTTTAAATCCAGCTTTCAGATACGCTAAATTTGTTTTTTGTTGTCTGTTGAACTGATCTGTCCATTTTGATTGGAACGAGTGTTCTCGAAAATATATTTTTAATAAAATATCATTAAGCTTTTCATTCTTCATCCTGCAGCTTAGCTGGTCCTTCCTTAGTTTCACGCGGTCCTTTATTTTGTGTAGCGCTACCAAAGCCGACCACTTCTTCGTTTTCGCTAATATTTTTTGCATATTATTAGTAATTAAATGTCTTTAATTGATTTGAATTTTGTACAGAGACATTATCACTGGATGGAATCTTAGTTTCACTTCGCAATCTTAAGTAGCAAGCTCAATTAGAATGTACAGGGTTATTTAAGTGTATGAATCAAATCAGGCAAACACAAGCAAATGAAGCACAAGAAAGACCCAAATTAAACCTAATAACCCTGTATTTTAGATTTAAGATACCTTACACCATACCTGACACAATTACCCAGCAGTCCCTAAATAATGCTATCTCTTACAGGAGAAACAATTCGAGAAAAGATTTTGGAAACAGGTGACAAGAAGACGGCAATCACTCGGATCAATCAGTCAGATATAGACCATGATCAATGAGACAATGATCAAGTGTTCAGTGTAGATCACGATTTAATAGTAGACCATACAGACCTAGAGACTGTAATAGTAGACGGTCTTTTGGACCATGAATAGAATAAAAAAGACGGTGTGCTTATGAAAGTGTTGAATACAATAACGAAGTCGAATGCCAAAAGATAACAGAATATTTGCCAAATAATGACGAAAGGGACCTGTCGATACTTCATATCTTAGTTGTTGTGTTTGTAGTAACTATCTTACACTATGCATAACTAACTGTTGACTGTAAATATTGTAGCTGATTACTTCACATAGTTGTACAAATAGTTTTATTTGTATCTGAGCTTGATAGACCATTGTAATATATGTGATAGGTTACTGTTTTAACTACTTGTATTGTAAATTGTTAAATCTGTATTCTCTTTGAAGTTGTTTTGTTTCTTCTTGATATTGTAATATAGTTTTTTCTCGTCTTTATATTCTTCGTCGGTTTGATCTTGGATATTTGTAACGCTTTGTTTGACGTGACGCACTGATTGATAGTCATTGGTATATTCTAGTGTGACGATGTTTTTAGTTCCTGATGTTACCTTTGTCATTACAATTAATGTTCTTTATGAAGATTTCAGTTTCTTGTAGCAGATAACTTTAGCGATTTTTTCCTATGAGCATTCCAAATCTCTTAGAATTTGGAATTTATATTGTGTGTATTAACGAAATGTGAAATACTGTAAAACTTTGACTTTTCTTAAAAATATTCATTAAAATTTTGCGCCAAAATGTTCAATGCGTGACGATATTTATAATATTAAACATTATAAATAAATTATAATTATGTATGTATATTACTAGAAAAGAATGTGCGCAAAAATGCTTTATTAAGTTCCTAAACGACGAATTATTTAGAGGAAATTTTAAAATTAGTAATTATTACGTATGAAATTGTTTTGTAGATAAATTAAAATGTCATGATCGTCGAATTTATTAATTTACGAGTAATAATTGATTGTTATAAATGTTTAGTGTTAATTTTTGTTCGATTTATTTGAATTGCGATGGATCAAAATAAAATATTATGAATTCAATATTATTTGATTGTCTATCTAATATCGTTTACTACAGGCTATATTAATTTAGAGGTAGGACTTAAGGACAATTAGTATATAATTTTCGAAATAACACAACAGTCCGACACGACAACATGTACTATGATCGAGCAGATAGCGACATATTGAATCAAGAAGTGTGGGAGAGTCATGCTTTCGGCACGAATGGGCCAGCTCGACCGGAGTGATACCACGGCATCACAGAAAACCGACGTGAAATGACACTTGCGTTGTGTTTCGTCGTGGTCGTGTAATTGAGCTTAGCGGAGGCTTAATTACCCCCCCCCCCCCAGTCTCTCCAATCCCCGAATCCCCAACAATCCTCAAATTCCCAATTCCTAAAAGCCCGGTAACGCATTTGTAACGGTTTCGGATATCCATGGGCGGCGTTGATTGCTTACCAACAGGCGATCAGTCTGCTCGTTCACCGGCTTATCCCATAAAAAAGGGGATTCAGAGGGTTTACTACGAGTTACAAGATCAAAACGAGACTGTGTTCGGCGCTGTGAATCATCATTATCACCATCAACAGCCTATAAGTGGCCACTGCTGAGCAAAGCCTCTTCTCACACTGAGAAGATTTGAGCATTAATCACTACGGTTGCTCAATGCGAATTGGTGGTTTGAAACTTATAATTGGAGATTATAAGCCCAACGCTATGAATGGCCTGCTCCAATATATTAAATATTTACTTATTTGTAATGTTTAAAAAATTACTCATTACTGCGTTGGCCGACTGCCTCGTTGGCCGAGTGGTCACAAGTGCGACAGTTGATCAAGGGGTATCGGGTTCGATTCCCTGGTCGAGCAAAGTATTACTGGGTTTTTATATAAAAAAATCCCAGGAGTAGTCCGGAGTATGGAAATGTGCCAGATATATGGCAATAGGCATTTATTACATAGGAGTCATAACATAAGTAGTGAAAAGTGGGTGTTACATTGTACAGTAACACCCACTTGGCATTAAGTTATGCATTGTTTATTTTTATTATATTGTTACGCATTAAGGCGTAATGTTATGGTACGTGTTATGTTGTGATTAAAAAACTACTAAAGGTACCACTAATTTTGATTAAGTTTATCTTTTTGTTTTCACCAACATCAATAAGGTAACTAAAAGGTCTGCGTTGTGTGAAAGTCATATATTAATTTACTATCCCGATAATCGAATGTGTAGGATCTTACTGAATTTGAATTTAACGGGTTGCCGGGACTCCGGCTTGAAATGCAGGAGTAGGAACGGAGTGGGTTTTAGTCAGTAAGAGTCTGACACTTCCTCTCGCCTTACCCAGGCGGGAGAAGACATTCGATTATTTTTTTTCTCCCTTAAAAAGAGGATCTCACATAACAAAATTAAATCCTTCTCTGACCCGTAAGCACACCACTAATGAGTTACTATTTACAACTAAAAATAATACAACAAAATTAAAAATGTTAAAGTACGTATATTTAATTAAAAATACATCAAATTCACAATGTAAATACAAAATTTACATGTAAACAAATTCGATTGACAGAAAAAATATTAGATATTTTTTTTTATTCTTAGCACCACGTGGTTACCTTTTATTTTATCTGGCAACATTGAATTGAAACGTCACTGTCACTTAGGATTAAATTTTGCATTCGTTTGTGTTATTTACTTATTATTATAAAATGCTGATCTAATGCATTGATTTGAAAAAATGCCTTTTGAAGTGTCCAAATAACTGCAAGTATTTTCACAATATTTGTCTCCATATAAAAACTGGTTACAACCGGTTATTGAGCACATTTTTGCACCATCCCATTGCCCTTTGTATCCCTCACTCACATAGCAATCGAGGCAAGAACTTCTTTATAAGAATATTTTAGGCGACATGAAACATATTTTTTTTGATCCAAATTAATTATACTCTTTATCCCCAAGATTGTCATGATGGTCATAAATTTTTAATAGGACAAAAAGTCAGAAACTTAATACAGGATTTATTTATACCTTCCTCGCATTTTTTTAATAGCCTACAAAAATACAACACGTTCATAATTTCATATATACCAAATGTTGTAAATTAAAAATAATAATCACATTTTTTTATTTGTCATAATGTTCGCCATACTGCCCCGTCTTGCCTCAACTGCTAGGTATAACACATCTTCAACTTATATTTATCTATATACAACTAATATTAGTATTGGCAGAATAAAAAAATAATAAAAAGAAAAATGGCTGAAAAATCTTTTCCAAGATTAAGCAAAAATTATTTTAAAATTTACATAAAAAATATTTAATTATTTTGAATTTTAAAAGAAGCGTTAATCGTTCATTTTGGCACAATGTTAGTTAAGTAAATTATAATATTTTATTAAAACTTATAATAAACTAAAATTGATCATTTTAAAACTTGTTAAGTATTTAAAAAATAATGGTACAACGTACATTCGTACTTATTGGAATAAGAAGAATTTAAAGTTGTATTTGTATTACTTATATAAAAATATTTGAAAATAGAAGTTTGTGCGAAAACATTTACACTTGCAACCCTAAATGATAAAGGAAATATGCACTGGTATACAATTCAAATATTAGAATATTTTTAAACAATACAATTATTATTGTCCACGCGATGGACAGAAAAAAGGATTCAATTTTTTATTTCATTCTTATAAATTGCCACAAGAGAAAAAGTAGGTACCTCTGTACTCCACCAATTTAAAATCTTTTATTTAAATCTGCCCATCACGTATATTTACATATTAAAATATAATATTCTATTATAGTTACGTCACTCATAGATATTAGTCACATATGGACGGAATAGTTACATTAAAACCTAAGGAATGTAAGAAAATCAATGAAAGGCAGTGAACAATTATCACTTGAGTAACTTTGAGCATAAAACAAAAATCTTACAAAACTCATTTTGTTATAACATTGCTTAATTACAATCAATTCCTGAGATTTCTTTTCAATGTACATAAAAATCATAAAATTGCGAACAGCGCCATCTGTTTTTCGTTTCTTAACTTATTTTATTCGCGCCATTCTCGGGACGCCTGGAAGGTTCGCACTTCAGATGAGGTGAAGGTCGTTAATCCTTGTGGACCTGTAAAATTTAATATAAGTAACTTAGTAAGTTTAAAGAGATAATATTTTGTTTATCCACCTGTCCCAGACAGGTCCTTTAGAAGTTTGGGGGTACAAAATCTATGACAGTAATGTTCAATAGACCCCTATCTCTAACCTCTTTATGAACACTAAACCGCTACCAAGGTTTCAAATTAAAAGGCTTTTTGGGCTCACGACTGTGAGTATTGTAACAGTAAATTATTTAAAGCATTTATTCACTTTTGATAACAATCATAAAACTCCTGACCTCTAATCCTGCGTCCAGGAGTGGGAGTAACGTCTCCCTCGGGAGCTGTCCACTGCTCCACCACCTCGGTCGCCGAGCGCGCCAGGGACGGCTGGCTCACTGAGCGGTGGAGGGAGTGGCGGGACCATGACCTGGAAATATATTTAAAAAATACAGTTACAAGTGAAATAGAAAGAAATTGACTGCACTTTTCTTTTATTCATTTTTGAACCACATTTAATATGAAAACAATAAAATTTTTTTATTCAGTAAGTATGATCGAAAAAAAATACATATTTCGCTTAAATTGGACTTTAGACCGATTCGTTACAGTTTCCTTCAAAGTGACTAAAATGTCTACGTTACACAATATCATTTATTTTTCCCGTTTCTAAAACATTTTTTTTATGATAGCGTTGTCACCCTGAAAAATTATTCTTTGGTATGATTTTACGCCACACAAAATTTATGAAATTAGTATATTTTCACATGTCTTTTTTTATGGCATAAGCCGGTAAACGAGCAGACGGATCACCTGATGTTAAACAAGCGGCGTCACCCATGGACACCTGAAACACCAGAGGCGTTACAAGTGCGTTACCGGCCTTTTGGGGATTAGGAGTTTGAGGATCGTTGGAGATTCAGGAATTGGGAAGATTGGAGAAGGGGAGGGTAATTGGGCCTCCGGTAACCTCACTCACACGACGAAACACAACGCAAGCGTTGCTTCACGTCGGTTTTCTGTGAGGTCGTGAAATCGCTCCGGTCGAGCCGGCCCATTCGTGCCGAAGCATGGCTTTTCCACTTAAAAATGTCTATACATGTCCCCAATAAAAAAATAACAGGCAAAGCCAATACTAACTGGTTCTGATGGAAGGGATGTTCGGAGTCGCTGTCGTCATCGTAGTACCGCCCGAGCTGAGTGCCGGCCGACACTTCCGAGTGAGTGTCTGCCTGCTCACGCGCGTAGTCCACCATCATCTCTGACATAGACCTAATGGAGGTAAACATAATGTTAATTCTTTTGGATTTTTTCCTTTGGTGAAGGACAACAAGGCTAAAATGAGAAAACTATACTAATTATTATAAAGCTGAAAAGTTTGTTTGTTTGAACGCGCTTGTCTTCGGAACTAAAAGTATGATTTGAATAATTATTTTTGTGTTAGATAGCGCATTTATCGAGGGAGGCTATATACTATAAAACATCACGCTACGACCAATAAGAGCTGAGCAGAGCGTGTGAAACCGCGCGGAAGTAGTTAGTTGTTCATCAAGAGAAATTGGTGCAACCTTTTCTGAATATTTTAGCTGCAATCTCTCTAGGCTGTATTTATAGATTAAAGTAAAAAAAAGTTTTACTAATGCAATAATTTTGAGTGAAAATCAATACCATAAACAATTATTTGTTTTGACTTATTTCTCAACAGTCTGCCTCGTTGACTGAGAGGTCGCAAGTGTGCCGGGCAAGGGGTCTCGGGTTCGATTCCCGAATCGAGCAAAGTATAACTGGGTTTTTTTAAAAATTCACGCACGTAGTCTAGAATTGTGCCAGGTATATGGCAATAGGCTCACCCCCTATTACATGGGACTCATATCATAAATAGTGAAAAGTGGGTGTTACATTGTTCAGTGGCATTAAGTGCCATAATGTGCAACTCTGCCTACCCCTTCGGGGATAAAAAGGCGTGATGTTATGTTATGTTATTTCTCAACACTTTTAATAAACAATAACTCAAGTCTTCGTGACAATACTTTAACAATCTTTAAAGTTTATATCAAAAAGACACTATACCTCATATCAACATGGTCACTGCGGTATGAAGAGCGGCGCGATCGTTGCGGATCTCTCAGCGAGGTGGCGTCACTGTCGTACTCGTACAATGTAGGCAAGGAACTACGTCGAGAACGTGAGTCCCACTCTGTCTTCTTGCGGTATCGGTTCTGGAAACAAAATTATATTTGAATCAGGATAGGTACATATAGGTTTCCTGAAGGGTATATCTATGAATAGTATATCTAGGTGTCTTCAAGACTCGAGTGAATAGTTGCGGGGTAGGCGTACTCCAGCACAGGCTGCATCATCACTTACCACCAGACAAGATAGAGGACCGAACAACACATATCCAAAATAAAAAAGAAAAAGGAGGCGAGTAACTTTATGTTATTATATTATAGAGGTTGACATTTTTGAACAATATCCGTCGTGAAGGCGAATTAAATTCATTATAATAATTAATTATCTTCTCATGTAGGTAACTAAGCATGTCGACTACTTTCAAGTCACAACCGGGGCTCATGATTGTAAATCTGATATTCAAATCCTATTTATTTGATTTGAACATCAAATTTATATGATTTATTTTGAGATTTATTTTTATTATAATTTTTTAAGGTATTTTAGTTTTAAATTATTTTTTTATATTTTAAGTTGTATATATTAATAGTCGCAAAGTAGTAATATGTTAATCATAAATCCTATTAAATAGACTATTTTTTTGCCTCAGCCGTCTGCGTCATATTCCACAAGCATTGCAATTATATTTTTAACTGACTTAAAACGATTTTCTACATTATTTTGTTACGATTCTCTTACCTTGGGTTTATCTAGTGGTGGAGCCAGAATACGAATGATGACTTCCCACTTAGGTGGAGCATAAAGTGGTGCGAATCGATGATCATGTGCCACCCTGGAGAACTCCTCGCGAGTACTGGAGCGCGCCAGTTCACGACGGAGAGTGCTCTCGTGGGTGATCAGCTCACGCCAACGGAGACGTTCCTCGCGTGTCAGACGGTATGAACGTTCAGTTTCTGATAGTACCTGGAGTTAGGAGACATTTTGATTGAATCTTGTTAATATTTGGAAGGTTGGTGTTAAAGGTGAGAGTTGTGAGTTATGAATTTTCGTTCTTAACACTGAATTTAATACCTATTAGTTTCTGAAAATCTTGCAATAATTAATTGATTCACAAAATCACCTCTTTAAAAATAATAGTTTTTTTTTTATTTTTAAGTAGGCAATACAGTATAATGTGAAATTCACTTCAACCTTTAAAAGCTGTTAAATAGTAAAATATTTTTATTTTAATCAAAATTAGTCACTGATTCAAATTCATAGAAAACTCAATGTGTATTTGGCTACACCCTACAATGTACTACAAAACCAACGCTTGCTTATAAGTATCTCTGTTTAAACAGTATTCTTACCTCATCCTGAGCCTCAGTCTTCAGGACTCTAGTAAGCACACTCCAGTTGCTTGGTACAGGTGGCGCTGGGATCGGTTCTGGCACATCCTCGTCATCCTCATCTCTGAACAATGGGTTGCGAGCTGGTGGTAGCTCGGGTAAGAGTGGAAGGTCTGATGGTGGTGCCTGGTAGTTCTGGGTAGACCGGTCGGTCTGCTTGATTAGTTCGGGAGAGAATAGGTCGGGGCCGCCTTTACCTGCAAAAATTTAATAAAGTGAGTTAATTTTTTTTAATTTTAAAACATTGTATTATCTACAGATTGTTTGTATATTGTACTGTACAGATATTATTTAAAGAGCTTTAAAGCTTAAAAAACAGGGTGTCTTTCTTAAAAAGCTGGCAAAGCACTTGTGCTGTGCTTCGAATGAGTGCTGTGGGTGTCCAGAAAGACAAATTCTACTTAAAGACAACATAAGAAGGACGTTCTATGGTAACCACAACCGCTTTTTTTTATTGAAAGGTGGAAAATCATCGAATGACTGCTCCCGCCTGGGTGAGGCGGGAGGGAGTGTCAGACTCTTACTGACTAAAAACCACCCCGTTCCTTCTCCTGCACGTCGAGCCGGAGCCCCGGTTACCCGTTAGATTCTCCACGAAACCACAACTGCTTAAGCTTGTTTGTCACTTCATTGGTATAAAAAACATCTACCTAATAAACTGTACCTCATGTAACACCGATTGTACACATGGTATGCAATAAAAGAATTTGAATTTAAATCATTTCAAGACAATAATTAAAGGACCTCTCAAACACAATTAAAACAACATGAACCACAAACTCACCAATATACTTCTGCGGCGGCAATGACAGAGGGACCCTCTCCATCTTCGGAGTGAGCGTCATGCCTGATGCTGAGCTGATGTCGGAGAAGTTCTCCCACTGGGCCTCAGGCACCGTGTGGTTCCGTATAGTGACGTCAAACTGTGGCGGAGGGGCCGGCACCTGTTTGTATTCTGTCACGAGGCGCTTGTGGCGCTCAATGTCTTCTATGGTCTTCTTTTCGGTGATCGTGCGGAGGAACACATCGTCTACTACGTGGGATGTGATCTCGGGTTTCCTGAAAGAACAGACATTATGTTGAAGTGAGAAATGAAGGTTTTGCTATTGTTTGGAACTAAAAGAGGACAGAAATACATATTTGGTTATTCGTTTTTCGAATTTCGATCGTTCCAATTTCCAACCTATCTATCTATCTGGTAGCTCATATGAGGAATGTTAATTACTATGTAATGTTTTTTAAAGTTTTTTTTTTAATTCTATTTATTAGAATTGCGGACTTAACGCCTTATGCATGGCATTTTCTGACAGTCAACTATGGGATGGTGCAGACAAATATTTTATGTATCCATTGTCCTTTTATATTTAAATCATCTGTTATAGGTAGTATCATGTTATAAACTATGACTGACAATATACAATGGACAAGTTCCTTTACTCACCTGGCTGGCATGATGGGTGTCTCCGGGATGGGCTCGAGACTCTCCATCAGCATCTCCTGTTCTTCAGTCTCCAAGCGCTCCCTCATTACAGGAGGTGGTGGAGGAGGTTTCTACATTAAGATAAAATGCGTTAATTTCCATAAAAGTATTATTTTAAATATATTTTACTTTTAACCTGTGAAGTATCGGAACGCAGATCTATGCGAGACACAGTATGTCTTCTATTGTGTACACAGTATGTCTCATATATCGACAGACAAGAGGTTAAGCAAAACTATTTTTCCATCCAAATTGTTCGTTACTATCTTGTTTAAAAAGCTTGTACACTATTTAGGCATTTTAGTCTCATAGCCTTCTGCCTTCAGCCAACAACAAGAAGGTTGTCCTTGTGGCGACGCATGCCACATGTTTAGGATTCCTACAAAAATTAACTAGAATGTTGTGATTGAAGGCTATTTTCCTGTTAAAAACATAACTGGTGAAATTAGCCAAAACGAAACCCATTGTGGGTTAATCTTAGTTTTTAACTAACATTTTGAAAACCCTCATAATTATTTTCTTACTAGCTTTTACCCGCGGCTTCGCTCGCGTCACAAAAGGATAAAAAGTAGCCTATGTGACATATACCAATACACACAGCGCCATCTATACCAATAATATCGTTTTCCCTCGAGAATATCAAATTTTTCCGGGATAAAAAGTAGGTACCCTATTATTTAATCCAGACTTCTAACTTCACATCTGCAAAAATTCAAAGCAATCGGTTTAGTAGTTACGGCGTGAAAGTGGAACAAACAAACTCACTTTCCGATTTATAATATTAGTAAGGATTCAAACAATTATAATTATCTATTTCCTTTTTACTCTTGCTAAATGAACAAAATTAAATTAAATTAGTAAAAATGAATCATTAGTAAGTACCTTGATGTGGAACATCCTTGCATGTGATCTGTCAGTGACTTCAGTGACAGAGTGTGTGTCGGTCATCTCAGTGTTCAAGGACACGATGGACCGCGGACGTCTCGACCACTCCTGGTTAGTCACACGTGGGATGGTGGAATTATTGTCATTAAAGTGAAACGTGAAATGTTGTAACGTGAGTCCATGTGAGTTTGATGTGAGTTGTTGAATTGATGTGAGTGTGATGTGAGTCGATGAATTCATAGTGTATTTTGTGGTCTTGGTATGTGTTTTGGTGGTGGAATTACTGTGTAGTAGTGGTTTCGATTTGTGCAATCGATGATTTTGTGCATTTTAATCGTTAAATTCTCATGAATTCCTTACACATGTTATTATTAACACACAGATTAATTTCAATAAAATATTAATTAGTGGCCTGTTTCACCATTAACTCGTTGAGTACCGTCATTATAGACACAATTAAAGAACAATAGGTTGCGGTCACCGGTGTCCTCGCGGTGTTTGACAGTTTAATATATATATTTTTGTTTTAATAAGTTATTATATTTCTGATAATTTCCAATTTATTATCTTTCGGTAGAACAGACCACTGTGACACACATTAAAATATTACTTTTCTAAAAACTAAACACACATGTCTTGTAGATCGAAACTTCTCAAATCATTTAAGTAGTTTGAAAGTAAGTACTTATTTTTTATCGGTTCTCATGTCCTTTTCATAGGTCATGAAAATATAAAACCCCACATTAGATGAAACATCCCACCATGGTTTAACCCAATTATTATGATTCAACTCATCCTCAAAAGACCAGAAATCAAGTGCAAAAAAACTACCAAAACACCAAGTCAAAAATCCAGTCACTAACCTGTTTCTCCCTGTTAACCTGGGAGTAGACTGCAGGAGGCCTCGGAGGTCTCTCTGGAGGAGGTAACTGGGAGGCACGCGCGGGGAGGGGGAGGGCCACCGGCGACACTGTGCGGACTGACTCCTGGCGCTCGTGTTCCTCGGAGAGGTACGTCGCTGCTTGGCTGTCATTGTGAACATAGTCTTCGTTTTTAGCATTGCGAGATTCAGATGAATGTAACGCGAGTGATGCGTAGGACTATTTTAATGAAAAAGAACATATCAGAGACGTAATGTTTTACGATCATATAAAAAAATCACAATATTTAATTAATTCCGAGCCATATACAATGTCCAGTGCCTAAACTGTAGCATGTACATTATGACAGCAATAATTAAAACTAAGTATATTCTCACACAACTAAAACAAAAACGATATTATATTTAAAAAAGCAATATTAGGTACTTTTATTTAAATATAGAAAAAAAATATTCACAAATAAAACATCTTGACTTTTCGAAAAGAATCAATTAAATCAACATTAATATAATAACTATCGTGAGTCATACTAAACTAACTAAAATCGCAGGTTACCCGCGTGAATATACTGAGAAAAGCTCTACTAGTTTCGAACTACAGAGGGGTTCTTCCTCATGAACAGCGTGCGCGGTCGCGGATACGTCGCGCAGCTCACGGGCTCAGTGAGCCAGTATTGTGATTTTAGTTAATTAATAATAAAATGATTTCCGTTCGTTAGTCACGCTAAACCTCGAGAACGGCTAAACCAATTTGGCTAATTTTGGACTTGAAATGTTCGTGAAAGTCCAGGGAAAGGTTTAAAATGGAAGAAAAAGATTTTTTAGGTGACACGAAGTTTGCCGTGTTATCTATGTAGTCTTATACTATTATATAAAGCGGAAGAGTTTGTTTGTTTGTTTAAACGCGCTAATCTCCGTAACTACAAGTCTGATTTGAATAATTATTTTTGTGTTGGCTGGCTATAGGCTATAAAACATCACGCTACGACCAATAGGAGCTGAGCAGAGCGTGTAAAACCGCGCGGAAGTAGCTAGTTTAAAATAAAGTCCTCACCGTATACTGCCTCCGTCGGTCTCAGTGAGCGTGATGGTGGAGGGCGGCGAGGGCGGCGCGGGCGGCCGCTGCACGCGCACGCGCACGTCGAAGGCGGGCGCCGCGCCTGACACTAGGCGGGCGTTCTGTGTTATTGCCTCGCGAGTTGAGCCGTAGCCTGGTAGTTGGGGAAATAAATTAAAACAAGTGAATAATGAAGCTTCATTTATTTTTTAATATTGTGAACACAGTCTAGAAGACACGATCTCTTCTAGAAGTATTCAAGTAGTTTTTATAATAACCATCGTAAGACATACGAAATTAACTAAAAATCGCGGGTTACTCACGTGAATATACTGAATATATTCAAGTCTTCAAGCGCTATGGCGTATCTAGGGTGAACTCATCTAACTTCGTGACAAAGGCATTTGAGTAATAAAATACCAATAAATTATTAATTAATTTAATTCAGTCTCCGCATGAGTTTTAATCAGTCTTTTATGAGGAATATTAGCACAAATAATCAGATTTTTTTCTAGAAACCTAAGAGTTCTACCAAATTTACTAAACCGAATTATTAGGCGAGTCACAGAATTAGATGAGTTCACCCTACTTCTCTCTTGTTATTTTTTTCTGAATTTGGTGGAATTAATGGTTTCTAGTACAGGTTTGTAGTGGTATCTGGTATCATGATGCAGTCTTGAATACTACCCTAATAAAAATGGAGTCATCTCAACATGATAACCCCATATAAGTAACCTTTTGGGTACTTCAATACCTGGAGGAAAAAGTATTATTTAGAGAAACAATAGGCTTGTGAGGCATAAGATTTAATTCTAATCTTTCCACATACCTTCGCTATGGTAAGACTCGTCCATCATGAAGGCAGCGTTACTATGTGCCTGCTCGGCTTCGCTGGGAGTCTCCGACGGATAGTCGGACGGTATCGTGTCGGACGCCACGCTGGCTACCTCTGCCGCCGCCGGGTACACTGGGTGAGCTCGAGGTATCTTGACCTCTGTGTAGTGGAGATAGGGTTTAAATTAGAACTGTGCTTCAATTGCTACTGACTACACTTCTGAAGTCAGATTATTGTAGATATGAAGTTTGTCAATGTTTAATATTATTACTTATAGCATAGATCAGACAATAAGCTGATTATTATATAATTCTTTTATAAAGTAGGTACGTTTAAAAAACCGACTTCAACCTCCTCCTTTTTGAAGTCGGTTAATTAATTTAACAAAATCCTGGGTGAGGACCCAGGCGGGAGCAGTCATACGATGATTTTCCCCTCTTAAAAAAAAACCTCTTTTTTTGAACTCGATTAAAAACTAAAAATATTCTGGAGTAAATTGAATTCATTCACCAAACTAAAACTTCATAAGCACTTATCCAATTTTTTCCATTCTCCCTCTACCTCACCTTGAATACTCTCCCTGCTGACGATAGAAGCAGAGGAGTCATCGATGAACCTCCTCGGCGCCGGGAGGGCTCGTCTCCTCAGACATAGGTAGGACACTCCGAGACCCAGAAGCAGCAGCGTGAGGAACAGGATCGCGCAGATGATCATCAAGATGTGGGTGCCGGCGAGAGGTGCCTTCGCAGGGAGGGGACCTGTCTCTGGCCTGGACAGAGAATTAGCGTTTTAGTATCTTGTTTTAATTTATATGTGCTGTTAGGATTTTTATGTTTAAGAAATAAAATAATAAAGAAGGAAAACATCGTGAGGAAACCGGGGCTTATAAATTTCTAATAATAAGTTTGGAAACACCAACCCGCATTGAGATTAAGCTAGCGTGGTGATTAATGCTCAAACCTACTCCGTGTGAGGAGAGTCTTTGGTCAACAGTGGCCACTTATAGGCTGGTGATATGAAGCTTAGTGTACGAGTCATCGTACATTCTTTAAGAAATATTTAATAATTGTAACTTTCGCAACTAATTGTGCAAGGCCGTAGGTATTGCTGACATTTTGACACACTTCGTGACTTCGTCTATACTGTGAAGACCTTTGTATCTAAGATGATTTGTATAATTTTTAGTGTTAATAAATCGCTCAATTGTGTCGTTGGTGTTTACATTTTCACTATTCCCTGAACCCACATCGGGATCATACCGACACCATACACCAACTACACACAACATCATATGTACGAGAGCATACAGCCCGTTCACTTAGGTTAAAGCTTAAGCATACTTTTTTGAAATTTTAAATTACTTTAACTAGGGGGATGCTCTTAGACATCGTGACCTCAAATAGATCAGAGGAACTTAAAACTTAAAAATTGGAACTTACGTGAAGATAAGAGGGTTGAAGACGGGTTTGGGCACGATGGGCGGCGGGTAGCGGCAGACGATGGTGATGACCTCGTCTCCGTCCATCTCTAACCCTGGGTGGAACCTCACCACGATGTTGTTGGTGAACACTCGCAGAGGATCCTGGGGGAGAAGGTAAATCAATGATTAACATGGATCGAGTGGTGTAAAGCTCAACACGTCAAAAAATAATCAGTTACAAAATAGGGTTGGATTTTGTAACCTGTGTTTCATGAATGTCCTGGATGTTCCAGAGGGACCGATACATATTTCGGCTATTCATTTATTAAAACATTTACATAACGACCTGTCTCACTTAATAAATAACCTAACGTCGAAAGCTGACTGAATATAGCGACATACGCTTTATACAAAATGTACTTGACGGTCTATTGAGGCAAGCATAGCCATCTAGTAGTAAATTATAAACAACTACCAAAGAGTATAATAAGTTACGTAGGTCAGCCATAGATGAGGTGTACGTTTTTTTAATACGTCTATGTTTTTTTATGTGTGACAAACGAGCAGATTTGTCACCTGATGTGAAGCAATCAGCGCCAGATATGGATCATAGATACACCTAATTTGAGGATATCCCTCAAACGAAAATTTACGTTTCAACCAATCTCTGCTAAATTTTAAGAACCCCTAAACAAAGATAGCACTTAACGACATTTTGATTTTGACCAACCTATTGGTAACACCTAAAAGTACAAGTAAGGGCTCAGTTTAACTGTTCCCTCACACTAAGTAACTCTTACCTAAGTGATGGTTAAGGGGTGAGTGGTGAAAAAGCCCATAAGAGATGTGGAGATGAGCGAGTCTTACTCATACAGGATGTATGTTATTGTATAGTACCTGTTTGGTGCCACACCCTTTGAGCGGTAGTTCCAGCTTGTAGGAGAGGGCCCCCTTGCCCTGCACCTGGCAGGCCGAGTGACGGTCGAAGTCTGCGTAAGCTATGCCATAAAACTTCTCGTTGAATTTCAACTCGATCTGAAATAACAACATTGAAAATTTTAAATTATTTATGTATTTTAAGTTGTATATATTTATTTAATTTAAATTCTAAACTATTAAAATAATATTTCGTAATATAAAAATAAGTCAGCTTTTCCTTCCTGACGCTATAACTCCAGAACGCACGAACCGATTTCCACGGTTTTGCATTCGTTGGAAAGGTCTCGAGCTCCGTGAGGTTTATAAAATATATACAAAAAATATTTTTTTCTTCATCTTTTAATCACCAAACGAAATGTTAGATACATAAAACGAAGCCATCTAGTGGCGAAACGGAGTTCGCCGGGTTTGCTAGTATTTCGTAAAATTATAAAAAAAAACATTGAATGTTAGGTATTGTTACTTAGTAAATTTTATTTTGCGAATGGTATCTTAATATTGATAAGTGTTTTTTTTTTGCATTCTAAAGTTACTTAATCTATGGTCTATAGAATACATTTTTAATGCCTTACGGAGGTATTAACTTAAACTTTGTATTCTTAGGCTTTTTGATTTATTATCATTAAAAATTATCTACTTATTCATAAATCGCGGGCTATACTGAGAAAAGCTCTACCAGTTTCGAACCATAGAGGGGTTCTTCCTCATAAGCAGCGTGAGCTGTCGCGGCGATGTCACGCTGATCACTGACGTACTCACGCGAGTAACCCGCGATTTTAGTTCATTTAGTATGTCCCACGATAGTTATTATAAAAAATAAAGGAAACGCTTATTAACTTCTTGCATGGAAGACCAAACTAATAGAATACGTTACAATTCAACATTACGTTCTTTCGAATACAGAACAATAACTTATTCAATATTCCTACTCTCAACACATTGCAACATTTGCAACAGATAACAAAAGTAACCAGACCATAGACAAAACAACTAGCCAATAAAACCTTATTTGTTATCTTGAACACAAATCTGAACGGGTCGATATCTTTGATAGCCACATAACAACGGTTACCGATACTTAAACGGACCGTTAGCAGTTGTTCCATTGAGTATTGACAAACCAAAGATCTACTGTTAATGCCAGCTAACTGCGTTTCGAGATATAACTGGGTGCAAACGGGATAACTTGAATCGGTTAATGATATAGAAACTGGAATATTAATTTCGTATTTCTAAATTAGATGGAACCGTTCGCATTTTATGTAATTATTCAGATTTAATTGCATTATAGTATCAAACTTACTTGCAATGTTTTTAAAATCAGAATCACAAAACAAAATATTTTTGTCAACGTAAATAGGATTCGAAATTTAAATTATTCTATAGTTTTTCTGCCACGATAGCATTGTGCCAGTAATTTGTCACAGAACAATTCGTCGTATTCTTTTTATGAGTAATAAAATTCTTAAATCAGAACAAACTTTCAGTTCTAAATTCAAATGTATTTAAAATAGGTAAGGACGAAAACTTATATATAAAAAAAAAACAAATTTTAAAAGAAAATAAATATTCATGACTTGCCCTTTCAATTGGAAATGTTTATTAATTAATATTATTTTATAGTAACCGTGTAAGAAATGTGGCGCGGGACTCGTTCATATTTGTGCCGCGAATATTTCTTTGAGTTTTCGTATTATTGTGCAACTTTGTTTATATTTAGTTTATTCCAATATATACAGTTTACAGTCATTCGTGTGTCGAACTTTATTTCACGCCCTGAGAACCCACCATCAAGAACAATCATCGTCCTCAACTATATTACAGCATCTGTAGTTTTATCGGGAATAATTTTACTACTGATTCTAATGAACCAATAAATAAATACCTGCATAGAGCCGGCGGCACAGTTGAGGGCAGCCTTCGTTCGGTTCAAGAATATCACTGGACTCAAATCATCGAGTTTTGTAACCTGTAACAAACAAACAAAACAATCAATATACATTTTTACATAATAATATCTATTATCCACATCAAAGTGGGGCTTATTCCCGAGGGCACAAGACACAGAGGGCAAACACTCTGAGGGCACAGAAAAAGTGTATGTTATATCTTTAATATTTAATAGCTGAAGGTTGTGATGTAGGTACTTTGATATAACGCCAGTGGTAGATAAAGCAGAGTCTGGAAATGTGCCCGGTATATGCCAATAGGCTCACCCCCTATTACATGGGACTCACAACATAAAATAGTGAAACTTAAGTGTTACATTCTACAGTCGCATTAAGTGCCGTAATGCGCACCTCTGCCTACCCCTTCGAGGATAAAAGGCGTGAAGTTATGTTATGTTACTTTGATGGTCCGCAGATCGAACCCAAGCCCTCTTGCTTGTCATATATACTTACCATTTGACCAATAGCAGGCTCCATACTCTTTGTAAATGATGATTGATAACAATGTCTTAAATACTCCTCAATTTTATATTCGTACAGGTAATACAGCGAGAAGAAATATTACGTTTAATATACATACCTAGGTACCTAACCTAATCTAAACCGACTGCACGATTGGTGCGTTGGCTGGGCAATCGGCTGCCGTGCAACGTGTCGCGGGTTCGATTCCCGCACGGAACAACACTTCGTGTGATCCAAAAATTGTTGTTTCGGGTCTGGGTGTCATTGTATATGTGAACTTGTATGTTTGTAAACGCACCCACGATACAGGAGAAAATCCTAATCTGGGAAACGTTTTTTTTTATAAGAAAGAAATGAAAAGAAAAAAAGAATAATCACAACTTCTATTTCTAGAAGATGGGGGCTGAGACTAGTTTATCACCATTAATCAGTGCACTCTACTACCCCGAAGCGAGACGGTCTCAACAACAATTCTATATTTAGTTAGTTGGATGCCAAACCCTGCTATAAATCTTTACTGCTAATTATTAGCTTGAGGCCCTTTCTATACATGTTCGTGCCCGTTGTAGGGGACGATACGATACGTCAAATATCCTACGAGATGTTTATATTATAACTTTCGTGAGACGTACTAAATTAAGGATTGAAAAGGGAATGTTACGCTGGTTTGGACATGTAGAAAGGATGGATGAAAGTAGAGTAACGAAAGAAATATACAGAGCGGATATGAATGGGGACGTCAGTAGAGGGCGCCCTAGACGGACATATAGTACCACCATATAGGACATATAATACCAGATTGGCGATATATTAAAGAAGGGCCAAATTAAAAGTACCCTTAACCGACGATTAGTAATTAGCGTTCCTTAGTCTCTGCCTACCCCCATGGGAGACAGGCGTGAAGTTATGTATGTATGTATGTACTAAATTAATTATTAGGTTTTCAGCTTACTCACGTAATAATTTGACGAGGAACTCGACTAGTTCAAGCCATACTAGAGGCTCATATATAGTGGGATCGCACTATTGCAGAGCCTAACAGCCAGTAGCAGCGCGACAGTCGCCACATCGCGGGTCACGAAATGCTGCTCATAAAAATGAGCCTCTAGCATGGCTTGAAATAGTTACGCGACTGTAAATTCACATTTAGGATTTAACTACACTTAAAAATAAAGATAAAAGTACAAGGCAAACTTGTACTCCTACGGCCCCATCGTAACTTTCTACTACTGCTCATATTTATGCGACATTTCTTACTGATGTCTTTTATATTTTATTTTAATTCATGTATTTAACATAACATAACATCACGCCTTTTTATCCTCGAAGGGGTAGGCAGAGGTGCACATTACGGCACTTAATGCCACTGTACAATGTAACACCCACTTTTCACTATTTATGTTATGAGTCCCATGTAATAGGGGGTGAGCCTATTGCCATATACCGGGCACAATTCTAGACTCCGTGCTACTACTGAGATTTTTAAAAACCCAGTAATACTTTGCCCGACCCGGGAATCGAACCCGAGACCCCTTGCCCGGCAGTCGCACTTGCGACCACTCGGCCAACGAGGCAGTCATGCCAAAGAGCCAAAGGCCAAAGAGCAGAGCATGTATTTAAATTAACGAAAAACATCAAACTGGAGGAATAAAGTACTTATTTTTTGGGATAACGAGGCAACCAATCACCTGAAGTTAATCAAACGACTAGACTAGAGGAATTTAAAAAAAATCCCCTGTTGCCAATATAACATGACGTGTATCAATGGAAACGAACAAACCATTCAGGCTATCACCACAACATAGAGCCTATGTATAAAGGAATAAGTATACGCTTTCCGTTTGAAGTGCAATAACAATATCTTGTCCCTCAAGCCAGGACGAGCGGTTAGCTTCTATTGACAATGCTAGCTGTAGCCACGTCCACCCGTTGGCTATATATGTAATCAGTACCTACCATAGTAGTATTTTGTCTTATAGACACTTGGTAACTTCAGGGTACAGACACCGGCAAACGAAGTAAAGATTTATTCGATTTTTAAATAAGATTCTTTCTAAAAAAACAAAGAATTCCATATCTTACAAAAATATGTATATTTCTATCCGTAATCTTGAAGAAAAAACGCACTGAACATAGCATTCTATAAAAACATTTACAAAAATCCATAAATAAGCATTGTCCGATTAAAACCTATTTCCGCATCGAACGACATGGATCAATAAAAAATGTCTATCAACCACAGTGATAACTGGCACACTTCATTTTCAAAGGTCAATTCGAACACGTTCACAATTTGAAATTGAAAGTTAAAATTATTTTTGATTTTATTATTGAAGATATTATTTGGTTAGTCAAAGAAAAGTCTTTGGAGTTGCGGCCTTGACGAAAACTTAGGGAGAAAAGAATGGTGGCGTATCAGTTTTAATAAAGCTATAGAGTTTATGAAGAGAGTAAATAAAGATAAAAAAGCGCCGGAAAGAAAATTGTTTTGTTTGGACGTTACATTAAATGTATCTAATGATTCTTTTTGGCAAAGAAAATTATCCCAATTATATCGCTAGAATCCATGATATTGATTCTCAATGGATCCATATTATATTCCAGATAAAACCAGCACAGATTCAATTTTTTTATCAATCTGAATTTGCACCATAGTGCTTCAATTGGGAATGAATAAAAAAACAACATTAAAAAATGAAGTAGGTGTTACGTGACGTGGTCCGAGAGATTTAAGACCTCTGGGTCAAAAGCAGGGCAGGTATTGAGCGCATACAAAGTTTACCGAGTCAAGGTAACATCGACCCAAAACAAGAAGTTCTGTTGTGAGGAAAAAAACCTCAGAAATATACCTCTAGTACCTATATGTGCAAGTATTCCAAGTGTTAAGGATTATTTTTATCATAACATAACATCATGTTTCTTATCCCCGAAGGGGATGCAAAGGTGCACATTATGGCACCTAATGCCACTGTACAATGTAACACTCACTTTTCACTATTAATGTTATGAGTCCCATGTAATAGGGGGTGAGCCTATTGCCATATACCGGGAACTATTCCAGACTCCGTGGTATTACTGAGATTTTTTTTTAAACCCAGTTATTCCGACCTGCATGGCCGGCTTACTCTTGAATCCAATTCCGATCGATCGACATTGGTATTGTGAAATGTCGTACTGTCGAGTTCATCACTAGCGCCCATTGCATCCGTATTGCGTGGATATTGAATGAACTAAATGGTATTGAGTTTGACTTTATATTCCGTACTCTGAATGCTATTTTAACCGCTATAACGATTGGGGTTGTATAGTTTTGACATTGAATAATTATTAAGATTTTTTTGAATTGAAATTGCATTGACATCGAGATTAGTTTTAAAAGTAACGGCCACTCGGCTAACGAGCAGTTATTTTTATCAAATAATCATAAAAGAAAATCAGATGAAGACTGCAAATCAGGAAAAGTTTCTCATGATGTCATGCTGCATGCTGTTATAGGAACTGAGAATTTCAAATGGAAATTCCAAGATGATGGCAGACCAGGGCGCTTACTCTTGAAACCAATCTCAATGTCAATGCAATTTCAATCCAATATGATCTCAATAATTATTAAATGTCAACACTATACAACCACAATCTTAGCTGTTACAATAGCATTCAGAGTACGGAATATAAAGACAAACTCAATACCATTTAGTTCATTCAATATCTACGCAATACGGATGCAATGGGCTCTAGTATTGCAACTCAAGAGTACGAAATTTCACAATACCAATGTCGATCGATCGGAATTGGATTCAAGAGTAAGCCCCCAGATAACGCTATTACCTACAGCCCTCGATTCTGTGCTACATCATCGTGTGTGACGACAGATTAGAATACGGATATCATTGCAGCAATTCTTCTCAGGAGTAAGAGCCGATATGATTTTTTTTTTGTTAGTTACCTATATCAACCCATAAAGAGGACTTAGAGTAGGTACTCCGTGATGCAGTTAAGTACCATCTGTCGTATAATCGTCGCTCATCAGTACCCTCAAGGCCACACAACAAATTGCACTCGCTAACTGAAAATTTATTTATCATGATGTTGCATTTTTTATACTCACATAATTTAGCGTTCTGTACAAACATTTGACATGAGTACGGGTTTCGTAATAAGATGTCATTTTTCTCCGAAACTACTGGACAGATTGTAGTGGGATTTTTCATTGTCCGTTTTGTTCCTTTAAAAGCTTTTGTGACAGGGTCGTGTATCTTAATTTTGTTTATTTTTAACGTTACAAGCATGAGACCACCTCTTGGAGGCAAGTGATCACTGATCACTGTCACATTACCAATGCCTTTATCGTTTGTCTTTGCACACCCATCCATAACTCAACCGCGACTAACTGAACTGAACCTCAAATTCATTGGTTATTCAACACCAAAACAAAACCACCAGCTACAGTTTTGTAAACAAACAAACAACAGATGCAACATTGTATGATATTCCTGTTACATTTCCATGCGCGTGCGCACCTAACGTGCAGAGATGAGTAATAACAAACTCACTTACAGCGGTACCTTGCGGTTGGCCCCAGTTTGTGTTGGAGATAACAATAACCACGTAAATATGAATGGACCGCTACCCACTGTATTATTATGGAAAAGTGATTTTATTGGTCCAGAATTTGGTGTAACGACCGAGGTTAACCAAAATTTGTCAGTAATCTGATGGGAAAGATATAGGTCAGGTAGTGCGTAAGCTTTATAGCTATTGATTAAAATAAATAAAGATTTAACATAAATCTCCTATTTTTATTTAGTGCGACTGCCGGGCAAGGGGTCTCGGGTTCGATTCCCGGGTCGGGCAAACTATTACTGGCTTAAATAAAAAATCTCAGTAGTAGCACGGAGTCTGGAATTGTGCCCGGTATATGGCAATAGGCTCACCCCCAATTACATGGGACTCATAACATAAATAGTGAAAAGTGGGTGTTACATTGTACAGTGGTATAATGTGCACCTCTGCCTACCCCTTTGAGGATAAAAGGCGTGATGTTATGTTATATTATGTTAATTTGGTGTAACGAGTGGTTTCATTGGTCAATCGGCTTTGAGACCGACTGCCCAGAATGAGGAAATGAAATCGATGTGTTTTAGGGCTTGACACAAAACTGATTTTGATAAGAACATAACATAACTTCACGCCTTTTACCACAGAAGGGGTAGGCAGAGGTGCACATTATGCCACTGTACAATGTAACACCCACTTTTCACTATTTATGTTATGAGTCCCATGTAATTGGGGGTGAGCCTATTGCCATATACCGGGCACAATTCCAGACTCCGTGCTACTACTGAGATTTTTTATTTAAGCCAGTAATAGTTTGCCCGACCCGGGAATCGAACCCGAGACCCCTTGCCCGGCAGTCGCACTAAATAAAAATAGGAGATTTATGTTAAATCTTTATTTATTTTAATCAATAGCTATAAAGCTTACGCACTACCTGACCTATATCTTTCCCATCAGATTACTGACAAATTTTGGTTAACCTCGGTTGAATGTTTTAATTTCACATGAATAACTTATTTTCTTATTTAATTTATGGTTTAATATTTCTGAATACTGACCTTTCCATCTAGAACGGTTTGTTCAGGGAGCCCCTCTCCCTGGTATTCGATATTGTTCGCTTGGGACCCGTAGTTCGACTGAGCCTGCGCAATGGCCAGCGCGCACGCCAGCACACACCATAATAACGCCATCTCTTGGCTGGAAAAAGAAAGAAAATGTACATTAGAATAATAATAATATTATAATTAAAAAATCTTAATATGACATAATAATATTCGGCAGATTAGAATCAGTTAAACTAATTAATCTGTCAAACACCAAGCGGTCACCGGTGACCGCGACCTATTGTTCTTTAATTGTGTCTATAAAACCGGTACTCGACGAGTTAAGGTGTTGAATCGGTTCTTTAAATGTTTAGGTACTTCATAAGAAGTAAATCTACAGAATAATCACACTAATATTTCATAGGTATGTGAAAATTTCTTTGTTAGGATGTTTGTATTTTTGAATGTTTGGATGTTTGTATGTATGTTTGGATGTTTGGATGTTTGGATGTTTGGATGTTTGAATGTTTGAATGTATGGATGTTTGTATGTTTGTATGTTTGTCCGGCAATCACGCTGAAAGTACTGAACGGATTTCGATAAATTTGGTATACAGGCAGAGTATGGGCTGACTTAGGTTATAGGATACTTTTTATCCCGATTAAATGCTCCACTGGGGATAAAACAGGAATCATATTCAAGTAACAGCCAGTAAACCATATATCTATCCAAATATCCTAGAGAATCGGGACTGTCGGGAGAAACCCTCTAAATCTCTCGTAGACGATAAAGAGAATGGAAAACTTGCATGTTACAAATCCGTAAGATATCATAGCCACTTCCAGTTTTCTACAGATCGATGACTATTAAGTCGATGAAAGTGGTGTATCTCACGTTACATGCTCGTACCAGTTACACATCAAGCTATGAACACCAGTATAAATTGACCGTCGAATGTGCAGGAAGATCAAACAACGTGAGTTCATGATATATTGGTTGTTATCACTTGACGATTCAACCAGTATAAACTGACCGTCCAATGTACGGGAAGATCATAGAAATTGAGACCATGATATATTGGTTGTTGTACCTTGATGAGCATGTCTCATCGGAAGATTGGTTTTGTATGAACAACTTTTCTATGTAAGTATCTATAAACTCGATACCGTAATAGAGTTTTCACTTTGCTCTAGAAACTCGAACATTTTCTCATTTTCCCTAGAACTTGTATTATGAAATTGTTAGTTTTTTTACATGGTTCTTATAGTGAGTTACTACATGAAGTGGGTTTATTATTGTGTTTAACGAATGAACGGCAGAGTTAAAAAAATATATTGGCAAGGATTATTTTTTATATATATTCAGGGGCTTCGTAAGTTAACCTTGGCAGAAACCTTTTCAGATTGGAGAATATGTAACTCTTTTATGTAAATAGGTATTTGGACATCTTTTGTTTATGTTTTCGATAAGCCTAATTTATGGAAATATGTTTATCTTTACTAATATTATAAATCGGAAAGTGAGTTTGTTTGTTTGTTTGTTTGTTCCGCTTTCACGCCGTAACTACTAAAACGATTGCTTTGAATTTTTGCCGACGTTAAGATAGAAGTCCGGATTAAATAATAGGGTACTTTTTATCCCGAGAAGATTTGATATTCCCGAAGGTAAAAAATATAATGACACAGATTGGTATATGTCACATAGGCTACTTTTTATCTACACTTCCATGTACATTTTATACCTAGAAATGACGGCCCCCACTCCTAAACTTTGATTCGTTTTATCGAAGTATTGTTTTATTATACGACAAAATAAAAAATAGGTGTCTAATATTTTTTCATTACCTAACTTACGGACTAATTAGATTTTTAATTTTCATACCCTGTCATCATCCCAATTACAAACATAAAAGCCAACTGGCTATCAACACTAAGCCACTTTATAATAATTACTAGCTTTTACCCGCGGCTTCGCTCGCGTCACAAAAAGATAAAACGTAGCCTATGTGACTACCCATCCCTTCACCTACCTTCAGTTGAAAAATCACGTTAAGTACCTCCGTTTTGCCGTTTAAGACAGGCAAACAAACAAACAGCTGTTCGCTTGCGTGGAATTCGGTTATAACGCGCGTTTTAGATTTTTCCGTGGGAATGAGAAATTCTGCCGCGGTAAAGCCTTGCTTTTCCAGGACTCAAACTACCTTTATACCAAATTTCTTCAAAATCGATTCAGCCGCGTGAAAGAACAGAAGAAGTTATTTTCGCATTACTACAAATACCTCCTCCCATTTTAATTTAAAAGACTTCTATTTCCTATAAGGGTTATATTTGCAACGCTAAACCAAAACTGAGTGGTAAACTATATTATACGTTTTATTATCGAAAACCTAAGAACCTATACTTTCGCCGGTAACGAAACCATAGCGCCATCTAACTCGATCCTAACGCCATCTATCGAGCGTTGAAATAACAGCGTACAATATATTTGCTAATTGTTGAGTATTGTTGCCACTATGGTTTCGTGTAGGCCTTTAACAACCTAAAATCTATAGAATACGCAACTTAATGTAAAATGGTTGGAACCAAAATTTAAAAGCGAAGAATACTTAAAAAACACATCGCTATTCCACATAGACACCAATTTCGTGTACCTTTAACAACCTAAAATCTATAAAATACCCAATTCAATGTAAAATTGTAGGAATCAAAAATTAAAAGCGATAAAAATACTTAAAAAACACAACGTTACCCCGTTTTACAAACACTCAGCGCACTCTATCGCCAAGTAGCGTAACTACTACATTAGTAGCGTCACTAATTTTCTGTACCTTTAACAACCTAAAATCTATAAAATACGCAATTTAATGTAAAATGGTTAGAACCAAAATTTAAAAGCGAAAAATACTTAAAAAATAGCGTAACTACTACATAGACACCAATTTCATGTACCTTTAACAACCTAAAATCTATAAAATACACAATTCAATGTAAAATGGTAGGAACCAAAATTTAAAAGCGATGAAAGTACTTTAAAAGCACAACGCTACCCCGTTTTATAAACACTCAGCGCCATCTATCGCCAAGTAGCGTAACTACTACACAACGTTACCACGTTGTGTTTTTTAAGTATTTTTACATATAAAATAGCAAATAAATGAGTCGAAAAGCGCACTGAATAAGTGTAGATTAACACCAAATAACCGCTATAGATTAAAGCGTGAAATTTCCAATTAGTAGGTAATTCGTTGAATTGTTTTAGATGGTACAAAGCGCCATCTACAGGAATACACACAGCGCCATCTATACTAATATTTTTGTTTTCCCTCGGAAATATCACATTTTTCCGGGATAAAAAGTACCCTATTATTTAATCTGGACTTCTAACTTTACGTCTGCAAAATTTCAAAGCAATCGGTGTAGTAGTTACGGCGTGATGGTGGAACAAACAAACAAACAAACAAACTCACTTTCAGATTTATAATATTAGTAAGGATAATCCAAAAAGAATTCTTTTATATCTACAACATAAATATCGTGTTGGCATTAAGTCGCCATTAACATATTTTGTCTGTCAATCCCAACAAGGATATATGGCTGCGCCGGCGCATAACCTTTCACCGAACAAGGTTGGAACACTTTGTACCTCCTTTGTCACAGACTCGACGCTTATTTTTTGTGTCTGTGTGCATGGAGATTATAGAGGTAAAATGGTTGCTTTAAAAGGTATTTCCTAAGAAGTAGATACTAGATGTAGGAGTGTAGTGTAGTATTACTTTAAAATATCTATTTTTTGTAAGTTTGTAAGACTGCCTCGTTGGCCGAGTGATCGCAAGTGCGACTGCCGAGCAAGGGGTTTCGGGTTCGATTCCCGGGTCGGGCAAAGTAATAATGGGTTTTTAAAAATCTCTGTAGTAGCACGGAGTCTGGAATTGTGCCCGGTATATGGCAATAGGCTCAGCCCCTATTACATGGGACTCATAACATAAACAGTGAAAAGCGGGTGGTACATTGTAGACTGGCGAAATGTGCACCTCTGCCTACTCCTTCGGGAATAAAAGGCGTGATGTTATGTTATGTTGTAAGCACAGAAATATTAATATATCTGTGGTTGTAAGTTACTTATTTAAAATGACATAAGATGCACCTTTCTATTTGTATTGTATTTTTAAGCCGCAGAACACTATGATTCTGTTCATCCTGTAATCCTATTGGAATCATCATCAACATCATCAACAGCCTATACATGCCCACTGCAGAGCAAATCTTCTTCTAACACGGAGAAGGTTTGAGCATTAATCACCAACTTGTTCATTGCGGGTTGGCGATTTTAAATTTATATTTAGGAATTAGAATTAGAAATTATAAGTACAGGTTTTGTCAGTGGTGTCTAAATAATCTTAAAAAGTGCGTATAACTCGGAAAAGTCATATTGATTATGGCCCCTGGTAGGTTTGGAACCCCGTGGCCGTCTTAAGCCTCCGGGCCACCACGACACCAATTGGAATACGATTATGAAAACATTCCAACTGAAAAATTTTAAGCCTTAATCGTTCAGGGTCTGAGGATTGAAATAGGGAAAGGAGGTTATACTCCGTAGCTAACCATAGATATTTAATATTTTCATTTTTTTATAATCTTTAATATCTTCCTCGGATAACCACTATAAACAATGATAAAACCTTCACCGTGTGGCTGTTGATGATGAACCAGTATAAATTCCACCTGATTCCACCCGAAAGAAAACAAAATAATATCTGATAGAAAGTCGGTATCCGTTACCAGCCAGTACATAAGTTCATATTAAAAAGTTGAGCCTCTCCTCATTACTTTGACCACAGGGTAGCAATCACACCTCGAGATGAAATATGAAATCATACAAATAATTATACGATTTCATTTGAAAAAAATGGCGTGTTACGAGAGGCAGTCATATTTTTCGACAAACTTAATGCAATCGGGTATCGAATTGACGCCCCCTGCCTCCAAATATAGGGTTTTGAATAACGCTGTAATGATTGCTGAGAACCTTTTTTGTTTTAAAGGTAAGGTTATGATGATGAGCTGAAGCGGAGCGGTTTTATAGGGAAAACTATTATAACAATATGCCTCATTAGGCGAATGGTTACAAGTGCGATCGTTTCCATCTTT